GGTCGGCGGGCGATGTAGAGAGCGTCTCGACACTTACCTCGTCGAGCTCACTCAGAACACATATAAACGGGTGCTAAAATGGGTTAAGACCAATGCAAATACCTTTGGTATACTTCTGACGCTCAGAGGGGCTTGTCTATAGCCATTATGCCCCTTCAGCCGGATATTCAGCCTTCGGTACTACTGATAACCATTGCATGAGTATACCATTCAGTCAGGACATTTTTACATTGCTATAAAGTACCCCGAGCGGTAAATCCCAAGGTAATAAGTTGCAAATGGCTGCGTGAAGGCCCGCCGACCGCTGCTGAAAGGCTTCAGCCACCGTCCGCTTAGTCAGCCTCGGGGATCTCGGCGACGACATTTGTGCCAGCCGTCCTATAGCGTTTCCTCCTCTTGTTCGTTCTGTATCCGGTAATAAATTAAAAATAGATTTGTATTACATAACACTGCACGTGCGCCCTAGTAAAGGAGGAGCGAGAACGCTAAGGACGGATGGTTTAGGAGCCTGGACTTCCCTATGCTGTATCGGAAATATGCACTAGCCTAGTTTGTCAGCCTGAGGGCGGGCTGCAGTCTACAGAGTCACACAGTCACAAGAAGCCATCTCGCATTACTGCATATGGGTATATTTGGCTCGAACAAACAATGCTCACGGAAACCCGATTTTCGGTTTCATATGCAAACGACTGTAGAGTACTACGTTGCTGTACCATCAAGAAGCTGCAGTTTCTTCATCTCTCCATTTGCGGATTGTAGTCTAATGAATGGCAGATATCCTTCGGACAGAATCGATCACCTTCGAGAGAGGACGTATGACCATTTATCTGCTATTTATGCGAGCAGCGGTCGAGAGTGACTAATAGTACAAGGACAAGTACGTGAACACCGCGAATTGTACGTTACAACAAACACATTCCGCAGGACGTCGACGTGATGGCCGAACAGGGGAAGTCGGGAAGTCGGGACGGCGGTGGTACAAGTAAGGAACAGAGAATGGTACACGATAAGAAGGCGGTCGTGAAAGTCGTAAGTAATCAGACATCAGAGAAGCGGTACGAAAGCCAGAAAAATGGTTTGCATATTCAGATACGAGGCACAGGATTCGGAAAGCAAGATTGCGTTCGGGAAGGGGAGTGTACACCGGTAATGGAAAGAGATGCATGGATGTCTAGGCGTTACAATTGCGTTTGAGAGATGAGAGAAGCTGTTGAAGAACGCTAAGGGACCCGCGACGATAACTGTGAATCGCACGAGCCTCCCACCGTGGATGACACTTGGGAATAATTCGCTCCAATGAGCCACCCTTGAAGAAAGAAAACGTCTAGGCCGCAACGAACCCAAATTGAACCGGGCTGGGGGTACTGGAGGAGTCTTCGTGAGGGAACTTTGTACAGATCCGAGCAGGGTCGTGAAGTGTAAGACGTGGCTGATTCGGATCGGAGAGCAAGACACAAGATGAAACGAGTCAACGTGAGGTATGCAAGGAGTCGAAGGTCGTTTCTGCCGTGAGCATCATTTTGGACGTGAATGACGGCAGTTTCCTCGAAACGAGATGCAGGTGCCACCCTTTTGAAGGCGGATTAGGACTATAAGGATGCGGTTCGATAGAAGTGGCGGTAGCTGATGTAGCCGTGGTAGATGTGGGTAGCGGAGGAATGCTTGCGAGAACAAAAAGAAATCAAGCGAGATTGGTAGATGGTTTAAGATGGTGATGTGTAGGGGTAGCCTGTCAAAGGCAGGAATGGATGAGATCACGGCGGTCATCGAACTGCAGGATGATAAATACCTTGGGAGAATGCCAACTATGCATACGTTTTAAGGAGCAACAAAGCTCCATTCCCATCCTCTTGCATAGTGGGTTGGTGGATTCAATTGCAGGACAAGACGCAATCAGTCCGTTTTGACTGAAGAACCAAATCTTCACTCAAAACCCCGTGCATCCGACAACGTTTACCCATGCCCCACTCAGAAGAGCGGGTCAGCGAATGCAGCCCCTCCCGTACCAGGGAAAGTAGGAGACTGCAGGCCTTCGTCGGAGAACCTGCCGCAGTCCAGGTCGTTGTACGAAAAGGACCGTACACTGGACAGGGGCGGTGGCCTCAGACCCGCGGGAGGGTACATGGGTAAACGAAGAGGGATCAGGTCAGGTTGTCCGGATGCCAGCGGCCCAAAGGAAACGTCTGGTAAGACCAGCGAGTGGGAGCGGAACGACTCTGGAGTCGACTCTGTCGATGAAGACGAGGACTGAAGAGTGTTCCGGCGACGCCCGTGAGGGGGAGTGACGGGAGCGATTGCCAGCGGTACGGCGGGCAAGTCAGACACGGGAGACGTTGGCTGGAGCTCTGGATTAGCAATATGAGATATCAGAAAGACGCGAGTCGAGCTCACCACGACGTCCGAGTTGTCCACCGGCAAGCCGCGTGCCACCGCAAGCGGAGACAAGGAGGGGGACCCAATGGTCAGCCTCGCCATTTCGTCGCTCGGGGCCACGTCCATGGGAGCCTCAGCCGCTTCCTGCGCGTCGTCCTGGGTCTGGTCGCGGTTCTCGTCCTCGAGAGAGTCCGCGTCAACTTCGCGTTGGCCGTCGAGGACTCTCCACCACTCAATATCGGCCAAGACGCGTCGGCTGGCCGTTTCAGAGCCAGACGTGCGTCGGGGGACGTGTCCGTGCGTGCGCGTCGCGCCTGCGCTCCCGATCGACGGGTAGGGTGCAGAGCGGGCTGCGCGGATGGAGGGGGACGAGATGGTGCGGCGGAGGGAGGGCATCGCGGGCGGGGGCGTCGTCGGGGACGGTGGCTGGGACAAGCCTGGGGGGGACGGAGGGAACAGCGGCTGCGTTGGCAGAGCTGCAGGAGGAGGAGGGATGCAGGGCGAGGAGGTGGGAAGGTGAATATATAAATTCGAGATGTGAAGGTATGTGAAGTGCGGGAACTGCCACCATTTTTGAAATCACACCTATATCGAACGGACGCTGCCTTCGCAGAGGCGCTCGTTTCTCTTCGGGTTTTGCGCGACTTTCATTTCGTTTCAATGGCAAAGAATGCCTTTGTCTACGACGGAACAATCCATTTTATGCGCGCTGCGAAACCGCGCAAGACAGAGTTTGTGTCTCGCCGAAGAGCGACAAAGGGCGCCTGGCCCGACGTCATCCGGTCTCACAGCGTGCGAGGAACGGTTCTTATGCCAGCGCATCGACGCGTCTTGTGCCGTTCCTGAGCGTCGCGACAAGCTACGCTGCCTGCGACAGCCTTCCCGAGCAATCAGCTTTCGCGTCCGTAATTATACGCCTCATCATTCCCCAGCTTCCATGCGACGTCGATGCCACCCGCGATTTCGTACAGACCGTCTTCGCTGTCGCATTAGCTGCTCTCATCAGGCTCATCGTCCGGCTCTTGGTACATGTCGTCATTGCACCCTCCATTACTCACCTGATTTTATTCCGGCCACTGGTGCCTAGCGCTGTCGCCGCTAAGCCTGGGGGGCAGTCCCCCCCTCGTCATCATGGCGCAAGACAAGCAGCGCATGAGAGACGTGCCACGACCGCCGGGCTCACAGGCCATGTCTGCTAGCGTACCGAGTAATCATGATGCGGCTCGCGCAGAGCTCACTATCGATGCCGCGTGGTGCCGACAGCAGCGACGCGCCCCCTCGCCATTTACGCGCTGTAATCGTCTTCAGAACGCGTCTCGACGCGTCGAGCAGCGCCCGGGAGCGTGTACACCTAATAAGACGCGTCAAGACGCGTCGCCCGAGTCGCAATGAACGCGTCTCATTAGGAGAACCGCGCGCGCCACCGCCGCGTCCTCCCGACTCCTTCACACGCAGATCCGGCTGCAATCAATCTGCGCTGCCAGCCAGCGTCCGGACGGGCGCACTGACAATAAGCTACTCGGACGCTCTCAAACCGACTATTAGTAGACGTAGTGCCTTTGCTTACAATTCTGAACGCCGAGAGCCCCGGATAGTGTTCGACAGGGACGCGTATATATACCGTTGGAGTGACACTAGATGTGGGAGGACTGATTTGCCTGGGCACGAGGCGGGAAGGGCATATGCTTGTGGATACTGGCGCTCACAGCAATTGCCAATAGATGACAAGGTATTCAGGCCAGGACCGCGCCCCAGGAAGGTTTGATCCAGTATAGAGCCCGGTCACTGTGAAGGGTATTGGTGCGAACGCATGGCCGCGCGCAGGGACGGCGACAAGAGTTGTAGGCCGCTGTAGGTCCTTGTATATTGCATCCAGCGTCGACTACGTTGCCGACGAACATTGGGACGAAAGAGCGACAAGGCAGCACAGCGAGCGGAGTCTGAAACGCTATCAGCAGTCTCATTACAAGACAGACTAATACCAAGTAGCAGCGTTCCTCGGAGCTCCTATAGCCCTTCTCGCCTCCTATCCACAGAACCAGATACACATGTCCGCAGCCCGCACCCACCTTTCATCCACAACCGTCTTCCACGGCGCCCTCGTCAACCCCCTCGACCTCCACTCCTACCAGGCCCTCCCGCACGCCCTCCTATGCGTCGACCCCTACGGCGACATCGCCTGGATCGAGCCGCACGTCCCCGACGCCCTCGTCCAGGACGTCATGGCCCGGAAGGGCCTGGTGGGAGACGACGTCCAGGTCGTGCAGCTCAAGAAGGGCGAGTTCTTGATGCCGGGTTTCATCGATACGCACACGGTGCGCTTTCGCTCGTTCTTCCGCTGCGGAGCGAACACTAATCAGCGGAGCGTTACGGAATAGCATGCACCGCAGGTTCCGAACATGGGAGCGTGAGTGACGATGCTCCGTCCATCCGCTGCTGTACTGAAGCTGAAGGCAACGCCGTCCCAGGGGGCAGCAATATGAACTGCTCGACTGGCTCGAGAACGTCACGTTCCCCATGGAGTCCCGTTTCTCCGATGTGGATTTTGCCAGGCACACTTACAAGACCGTCGTCCGAAGAGTGATTGATTCCGGCGTGCGTCTTTCCTTCCATCACCAAACTTAACGGCAAACTGATTCTCTCCCGTCGCCAGACGACCACTTGCTGCTATTACGGCACCCTGCATGTAGAAGCAACCAAGGTCCTCGCAGATATCATCCACGAGTACGGTGAGTGCCGATCTGACCCTCTCCTCCCCGCATACGAATTCTTAGCGGTTCGTTAGGTCAGAGGGCCTTCGTAGGGGTAGGTGAGCCCCTGCACTATGCACCGACGGGGAGATCATCCGGCTGAACGTCAGACCGCCCGTCTGCGCCCGTCAGAAATGTAACATGGACCGCAACTCGCCCGACAACTACGTCGAACCCTCCGCCGAGGCATCCGTGCAGGGCACCAAAGAACTCCTCGAGCACATCCGGGGCCTGCCTCCGCTCACTTCCCCCAGACCGGCGCATGACACGGACCGTTCCCAACTGGTCCATCCGATCCTCACCCCGCGCTTCGCGATAAGCTGCACCTCGCCGCTGCTCACCTCCCTGGGGCAGATCGCGGCTTCCGACCGCTCGCTCCGGATCCAGACGCACATCTCCGAGAACCTGTCCGAGATCGCGTTCACCAAGTCTCTGTTCCCGGAGTGCAGCTCGTACGCAGACGTGTACGACAAGCACGGGTTGCTGAGGCATAATACGGTGCTTGCGCATGCGGTGCATTTGGAGGACGAGGAAATAGCGCTGCTGAAGGAGAGGGGCTGTGGCATAAGCCATTGCCCTACGAGTAATTTCAACCTAAGGAGCGGGATTTGCAAAGTTGGCGAGCTGCTTGATCGGGGCATAAAAGTGAGCACCTCCGAATAGGTATCATGATTTATTCTAACCGGTGCTATCTTATTCATAGGTAGGCCTCGGTACAGACGTCTCAGGCGGCTTCTCCCCCTCGATCCTCGCAGCGATCCAGCACGCCTCGATCGCCTCGAAGGTCGTCTCCTTCCAACACCAGCCGGGGCACGCCATAGCTGTGCCCCACCACCTGTTTGTAAACCACAGCCCGCTCGCGAACAAGCAGCTGCCCATCCCGGCGCTGCTGCACCTCGCGACGCTCGGCGGCGCGCAGGTGTGCGACCTGCAGGCGCGCGTCGGGTCGTTCGCGCCGGGGAAGGCGTTCGACGCGCTGCTGGTGAGCGTGTCGAGCGCGGCGGGGAACCCGGCGGTGTGGGGCGTCGAGGTGGACGAGGCGCTGGGGATTGAAAGGGGGATGGGGATGAGTAAGGAGCAGCATTTGGAGAGGATGCTGGAGGCGTTCATGTTTTGTGGGGATGATAGGAACATTTCGAGGGTTTATGTGCAGGGTAGGGTCATTGGAGGCAAGGAATGGGCGGCATCTCAGCCCTGATGTATACCAACAAATTAGAGGAATCTCGAGTCTTGGATAATTAGTTGCACAATGATAGTATGAGTATTCTGTCTGCAACGGGTGGGGTAAGTTGATGCTGGGTAGAACCCGTGACAGAAACCTGCACAGATATTCAGGCTGACTGTATGTTTCTTGACTTCCACGGGGGCGGGGGGAGGAGAGAGCGACTGTGTGCTGCTCATTGTCCAGCGTTTTGACGACGGAAGATCGGGCCCGGACCTCCGGAGCCCTGCGCAAGTTGTCGTAGAACATTTGCAGCAGCTTCACGCAGACTACCGATGCAGTCCTCTGCACGACGCCTCTCTGCGCCGCTGGCCCGCTGCTCAAGGCGGCACATCCACTGCTCTGCCTCCGCTCGAGACCTCGTCGGGCCCCCCGACCCAGTCTCCAACCTGCGCCCCGTCTACTACGACGACCCCCTTCCCGCCCCCGAGGCGAAACCACGCCCAAGACTGCGCCATCCGTACTCGCTCAGGGAGTTCTCCGACCCCGACGTGTCGACCGCGGAGCCGAGCATCCACGACCTCGAGCTGCAGTACAAGCTGCTGAGGCAGCAGACGGACGCATTCAACCATGCGTTCTGGACAGACGTGCGTGCGCTATGTCTGGCCTCTCGCCCACACAGGCTTACCTTCATTTCCTGGTTACTACTTCTTTATAATAGAGCAACCTCCGGTTTGAATCTGCCAAAGCCACCATCCTGCAGAGCCTCCCCTCCTCCAGCACGCCCACCGACCGCGACACCGCTCTCACCCACTTCTACCAGCAATGGCTCAACCAGGAGTCCGCGCGGCAGGAGGAGTACACCGCGGAGTGGCGGCGGCGCAACTGGGACGGCATCGTCCTCGCCGCCCGCCTCGAGTACGCCAAACTCAAAGCCAAGTTCTCCGGCGCGGGCGCAGATTCGGACGCATGATAATCACAACATGGAAATAAAAATACAAGGGGTCTGCAGTGCTTAGGTGTGGGCGCCGGGCGCAGAGTTTTTGCTAGTTAGGTGGAGGGGGCCATCAGTCCTCCATAAACACATCCCCTTCCGTATTCCCGGACACGTCCGCCTTCTCGCTCTGTCGGGCCTGCACTAAATGCATCACCCGCTCCCACATCCCGTTCTCTTCAATGCCGGCGCTGATAATCGCATCTCCCTCCTGCCTGTACTCCTCCACGAGCGCGTCGACCCCGTCGGGGTCCATCCCCGGGAACCTCGCCGCGATAACCTCTTTCGACGGGGGCTTTGCGCACGACGTCGGGTAGAGGACCGCGGTTCCGCCGTTTCCGTAGACCGCGCAGAGCGTGATGTACAGCGCCGTGTCCTTCAGCCGGTCGGTGACCTCGTCATCGGAGAGGCCACTTGTTTGCTTCAGGGCATCCCAGCTGGAGGGGTTCGGTATCAATATGCATACATCTCTTTGAAAAGCAAGGGCATACTCGTCATGACTGTAGATCCTTCTCCATACGGCCCTCATGGCATTTTGTACTCTGACCTCGGGTAAATCCTACACCAAAAATCATGAGTGTCATCCACGAACTTGACAACGTCCCCTTACCTTGGCTTCGCTCAAGATCTGTAGCGCAGTCGAATAATCGTATATCTCATGCGCGGTATTATCCTTCAAGGTCAGCAGATCGACAATATCCTCGACACTCAATGCTTTCCCCTGCAGAAGCTGCCGGACGAGGTCCTTGAACACCTGGGCAATGATGAATACCCGAGACTAGAAAGAATATGCAGAACGTACTCGTAATATAGGTTTTCGACCAGCGAGAGATTTCGCGGTCACGCGCGCAATCATGTCCACCTGTGCGTCTAGCGACATCTTGCCGTGATGTGTCGACAGGATGGCTTTGAACTTGTCGCGAAGGTTTTCATGCACGCTGATAAAGTCGAGGCCGTCATGGAAGGCTAAAAGGATATGCATGAGGTCCGGAGCTACGTTAAGAACCTTTTCGAACAGACCGCTAAGCACATCCTCATCAATCGACGCTTCAGGCTCATGAAGCCGAGCCAGTTGCGACAATTTGCCGATACTCAGCATCAACTGCAGGTTCGGAGCATCAGAGAGTACACGTTTTAGTACCAGGCCGGACCAACTCACATGCCTGACTTCCAGAGTACTCTCCTTCTTGGCCACCGACAGAAGAGCTTGCGACGCAGCCCCGTATCTACTCTTGCCCATGTCTTTGATCCACGATATGGCAGGGTTCGGGCGGTGCGAGAAGTACAGGTCGATGTAGTCTCCGTATTCTTCTTGCTGAGCGAACAATGTCCGAAGCTCTCCTAAGCCCACGGCTTGTCAGTGCAAGGCGACCAGAGGGATACAGCGCGGACCGACCGTTTTCCACATACCACTGGAAGAGCTCTATGGCAAAGGCTTCACGGAAACGATCCAGGCATGCTCGGATTTTATCAGCGTATGGATTCTCTTCTGGAGGATACACCTTTTCCTTGTGGCACAGCGATGCCAGACTCCGCAAATCGTGGTAATGCTCTGCAAGAGCGAATGCCTTGTCCGGATACCCTATGCGTCCTGTAGATAATGATGCTGGTCAGAACCGTCAAGGGTCGCGGAGGCACAGAAGCATACGTATTGTATCGAGAATGGTGGGCCTCGACTGCGTGAACCGCTCTTCCAAGTCCATCCTCTCCTTGTCGTTCCCAGGCTGGTCAGCGGCCACAGGACTCCAAAGTCACCGCCGTTAGTTCCCTATACAAGCTGGAGCATATACCACAGCATGCCTACCTCTGAAGCCACTGCGTTCTCTCCGTCATACAAGCGAATAGGAGGAATCCTATATCCGGGATTTGCTTTCTAAGTTCTTGCCTGGTATACCCAGCAGCAGACCCAACTTCTGCAGTGGGCGCCTCGACTATCTTCGCTGTCATATTGAACAACTCGAAGAGGATATCGATCATAGGCGGGGCGCTAGTCCACGGGTTGTACATAGGCTCTTGGACGCCGTAAGTCGCCCCGTGCTGTCGGCGGTAGGCCATAGCTGAGTCCAGCACCATCTAGCAAGTCGATAGCGGACGTTGTGAACGCAGCAACCGGAGGAAAGGTCATAAACGTACATATACAACCCGGTTTGCCTCGGTCAGAGCTCCCAAGAGATTCCTGTTCATCTCATAGGATGATCTCCGAGTGACGTCCATGACATAGACCATCAGCCGACCTAGATCTGCAACTTTGCTGCGGAAGAAGGCACGATCTGGGTCGTGATGCTCTTCGTTCAGGTCATAGAAATAATTTCGGATGCCTTCCGCCAGCACACTGTGGTGTAGACCAGCACTATATCCGAGGGGTTTGAGGGCATATTCAGCGTTGGTAACTAGCGCACATACGACTGGAACTTGTTAAGCATTGTCCAGAGCTCGAGCGCGGCGTGTTGCTTCTGCGCATTGCTCATGAGTTGTTGCCGGCACGCTTGTGAAACCTGGTATGGTGAGTCAGGACTCGAGTAGCAGCTAGGATACACCGGCACACCTTGGGCAAGACGGCATTATCATTAATGAACTGGATGAGGAAGCCCAGTAGTTCCTCGCGCCCCGATAATTGCGCCTGCATATCGACATTTGGTCGTACAAGAGTAGGATCTAGTGAGCGTCAGATAGGCGATAGCCCTAGAGTTTGAATTACGCCCCACCTGATCCCAGAATGCTTTCGCTGAGCTGGATTGCTCCAGACATAAGGCTCCCTTCGTCGACATCAGGAGGGAAGCTGAAGCTAAGAGGATTCTAAAGGCGACGGCTCAGGAACTTAACGGACATTCAGAACCCGGAAGCGCTACCTCAGGATTCGATCCGTAGAGGACAGCTTGAGTCATAATGGATTTGATGATGTTCGCTTCACCTGTCCTATACAAAGGGTTCAGATGAATCGCAGACCTTCTGCAGTAGAACATACGTACTCGGCATCAAATTCATTGACTTGCTCCATGTCGACCATCACTTTCATGATAGTCGTGGCAGTCATAATCAGTAATTCACTTGCGTGTTCTACAGCGCCGAGGCCCAGAGTACGATCGGTGGCGGACTTCAACGCGATGCGATCACGGTAGGCCGTATCTTCAAAGGACAAGTTAGTGGCATGTTTGAGAGTGTGAGATATGGCAAACGACCTCTCGCGCATAATGCAACTGCGTCACCAAACTGGACGGCCATCAATTCACCGCTGGCCAACAACTTCATTCTGGCGTGCATTGGAGCGCCAGAGCTGGAAGTCTAAACCGAGGCCATCACTTCGAGCTATTGCGATTCTGAGGGAAGATTAGCATACCGTTTGGTATGGCACAATGGCAACTTTCTCCACGGTCAGAGTCTCCCCAACAAGCGTTACATGCGCGACAAAATATACTCGGCGGGGGAATGTGCTCCTTTCAAGGTCGTATTCTGTGCCGGCGTATGAGCAGAGTATCACCAGTTTCCCTGACCTACGAAATCAACGTATGTAGGCACGGAAACAAGTAGTCCTTACTTTTCGACAGCCAGGTCAAGGAGTTCCAGATCAAGGTCAATATCTCTTGGAGGGATATTCGACCAAGACGTCCGGCGAATAGCAGTGCGGATTTTACCCATGGCATCCTCGTCAAATACAAGCTCTTCCCAGTCCTCGGCGGTCATATTCCACTTCTGGATCCGAGTATCTACCAAGGCCCAAACGTCCCTGCCCGTCTCGTCACCTTTGCCCAAAGCAACTGAGCTTACGTAGCCACCTTCAGCCTGAGGGACTGTCGGTGGGGTCCAAAGGGAGGAGAAATACTGAGAAAAGCCGGGCGCTGACTCGGGTCGGGAGAATGTGTGGTGCGAAATATGATATTTGGAGCCTGAGGATGTGACTGTTAGCCGTAGCAATCGTCCACTGGATGTTGAAGCGACATATGTGACAGCCTGCCGCAGGACATCAGCATTAAAACCAAGACCTTTCACCGCGGAAGGGGCGTGGGGCACTCACGTCTGATCTGGTCAGGGTAGTAACTGTCTCTCCAGAGGCAAGTTTCAGCTGGATGGAAACATAGTGCTCTCCACCAGCAAGTCCAATAGCAATGCTATCCCAGAATCGAATCTCGCCGGAAGACGCGATGAGTATTAATCCTGGTTCACGGCCTGAGCCGAAGGGCACTAAGACATGCAGCGGCGTAGTTCCCAGAGCAAGGTCGGGTGGGCAGGAGAAGATATAGCATGTTGGGGTGCCTGTCAAAGCCTAGGAAGAATTGTTGTATTACACCTACCCATGGTTAACGAAACATACCTGTGCATGCTGCCACACGAAGCACGTTAGGGCTGTTGCGACAACTGCAAAGCCGGTCGATGCGTCAACGTCTCCCGAATACGCATCCCTATAAAAGTCCGCGTTCTTCAGGACCTGTTTGACTTCCACGGGTAGGTTCGCATAGAAGATAGCGGTTAATTCGTTGGACCTGGCGAAGACGCCCTCAGCTCGCAGCATCGAATCGACCGATATTCTGCTTCTGTCCGTATCAGAAGTCATAGATACATCATCTGCAACTGAGGATAGTCTGTCTGGTGACATTGCTGCACCCGCGGGTGTGGCGCGACGCGACGCGGTCAGGCTGCTTCCAGGCCTGGATGGACGTGTAGAACCATGGGAGGGGGATCGGGCTGCTCGCTGGGAGTGTACTTGGCGCGTCGACCTTCGTGGTGGAGCAGGAGAAAAAGACATGATATGGACCGAAGGAGGAGAACCAGGAAGATGCAGAGGGACTTAGCGCCTCACGAAGGTTTGAGACGCGTCTGAGCCACACCAAACAACCCAAAATACGGACTTGTCCACTCCGCCCACTTGCTCTCAGACATGCTCGGCGTTGAAGGCTATGGCAGCGACAACGAGACCGACCAGGAGCTTGACGGGCCTTTTTCTGCCTCAGTTGCTTCAAGCATTGCTAAAGCACATTTGCAGCAGCCCCAGAAGACCTCTGGCTTGAACCTTCCTCCTCCCGCTAACGCGAAGGCTTCTGGTTCCAAGGGTACAGGCAGCGGACTCTCACTGCCTCTTCCCAAGGCCAAATCGACGCAAAAGAAGAAGAAGATTACCATCGACCTTCCGACCTTGGACGATGATGACGAGGATAACGAGGATAAACCCCTGGCCAAGAAGCCTCGCCTGGAGAGCGGTGCGGGCTCGTCAAAGCTCTTGTCAATGTTACCAGCTCCAAAGCAGAAGGTGCCGCTACCACCACCTAAAGAACGGGTCTTAGGAGGTGGACACGGCCCCGGGCTCGTGTTCAATACGTCTAGTCATTCAGCTACCGACTCTACCGACCAGACCGCTGATGATAATGACGAGGACGCTGGGACGGAATCGTCCGCTGCAGCTCCTAGTGCACCTTCTATATCGTTTCTGCCTGTATCTCTGCAGAAGGGGAAGCCAAACATCTCAACCGAAGGGCCGCCACGAACCGCACCGAAGGTGTTGTCTACACCCAGAGTGTCCGCCGCCCCTGCAGTGGATTTCTTCTCCCTAGGTATCTTGCTCCATCTGTAGCCTATATATACGAGCTCATACTTGTGTAGGTTCATCAAGCAGTTCACGACGTGACACAGTCTCCCCGGTTCCAGCTGGACCCTTAGGATCATCCCAACCTTCTCCTCTCCCCAAGATTCCTACCGGCATCTCATCCGCTCCCAAGGTGGACGACTTCGTCCCCCCGGAGCCAACGCCAACAGATCCCTACCCTGGCTACTACCTGACGCCTACTGGGCAGTGGGCAGCCTACGACCCGGACTATTACAAGAAATTCTACGACAAGTGGAAGCGCGAGTACGACGCTCACGTACGGGCATTGGAGAAGGGTCAAGTAAAGGGATTCGAAGGTCTGAACGAGGAGGAAGCGCAGGAAGTCAACGCTATAGCGGAGATGGAGAGAGCAAAGAAGGAAATCCAGGAAAGAGAGGAGAAGAAGAGGTTGACGCAGGGTGGGGACGAGGCTCCCGCTGCTCCGAAGATGAATATCAAGGTGCGCACTATGTATTCGCTCTAGTCCATTTGACTAATATCCTGGCTTGCGTAGGGTGCTGCTCTAGGTGGTCGTGCTCGCTCGAGACATCAGCTGTCGACCTTGCTTACGGAGGCTTATTCAAATCGCAAGGCATTGGAGGAGAAAATTGCTCAGGGTAGGCGGAATAGGAAGGAGGCAGGAATGAAATATGGTGGCTATCTTCGTGTCCCTCTTGTAAGGCACTTTGCTGACCCTGGCGTTAGGCTTCTAGTCATTCATTCAAATATTCCTCATGGTGTTTTCGTCTCGACCTATATATTGCAATCCCGACTAATGAGACAAAACATAAGACACAAGGACCTTATTGTACAGATAAAATGGGAGATATTAGACATGTACAATATCATGTAGTATGAACAACGGTCTACTTTGCAGTTGCAGAAGAGAACTCTGCGAACGCCCATCAACAATCTGAACACCCTGTACATTGAACCGGAACACTCACTAGTGACAGACTTCGTTCCCTCAGAGATAGCATGCTTGGCAAGTTCGCCTGGGAGGATGAGGCGGACCGCAGTCTGAATCTCGCGCGACGAGATGGTTGACTTCTTGGAGTACGAAGCCAATTCTGGACGAAACGGTCAAAGACAGCTGCGAACTCCGGCGACAGCAACTTACTTGATGCCTCCGTAGCAATACGTTCGAAGATGTCGTTAACGAAGGAGTTGAGAATAGCCATAGCCTTGTTCGAAATACCAGTGTCGGGGTGGACTTGCTTCAACACTAGATGCAGCTGTGCATCAGACGGCGGATGGGGTGGCATGCGAATCGCTACTTACCCTTGTAGATGTAAGAGCTGTAGGTCTCCTTGCGAGCCTTATTCCTCTTCTTCTTCTCCCCATCAGCAGGGGCAGCCTTGGACTTCCCCGCGGTCTTCTTGGCAGCCTTCGCCCCTCCCTCCTTAGCAGGAGCCTTGGAGGCTGTGGACGCTGGGGCCTTGTTGGCGGTGGTGGAGGCAGGAGCCTTGGAAGCAGTGGAAGTGGGCTATAGAAGCGCTTCCTTGTAAGCAATTGAGATCCATTGAATGTGGCAAGGTCCTTACTTTGGGAGCCATTGGAGAATGTAACTGTTGACGAATATCAACAAGAAGTTCGACAAGAGAGAGCAGTGTACGCACTGTATTGGACGCAAAGGTAAGCTCAGAGGCTACGGGGGGTGGTGGTGATAGTGGTCGAAGGCGAAGGTTGAGGTAAGAGCAGAGCGCGACGCGACGCGTTATAAGGATGGCGGGGTGGCGGAGTTGTAAATTCGGAGTCACGTGGTCCCGTTTACCGTCAACAGAGCAAAGCCACAACCGCGTTCTGACGCGACGTTTCACGTGGGACGCGTCGATCTTCCCTCGCACAAGCTGTGGTTTCTCACAGCTATTCTATCTGTCCTATATATCCTGGTGCAATCCTGACACGCTTCATGTCGAGCCAACAACATTATCTAGGCATATAACAACGTCCCCGTCATACCAACTACTCCGTCTGCCCCCTCCGCCCACAAACGCATGGTCGTATTCCCGTTCTCTGCGACCTGAAGAGTAATCGGTTGGCCAACCACGAGCGGACTAACAGCGCGGTACTCGAAATCCAGGAACTGGGCACCCTGCTTATACATGGTCGCAGTCTCTAGCATCATTAACGCGGTCAAGGGCCCGTGAACCAGCCGCTCTGTAGCAAAAAAGGAGTCAGTAGAGGAGAACTCGTCTAGCCTAATGCACTGACCCGGATACCCTTCTCGTTGCTGAGCGTAATCTTTGTCAAGATGGATATAGTGGCCATTGAACGTCAAGGCTGAAAAGCGGAACAGCGTCGTGGGGCTCGGAGTATAAGTGAACGAGAAACTAGAGGGCGGCAGTTTCTCTGCTGTTGGCTTGCCCGTGAGGTCAGCTCCTTACGCGCTAGCACACGACGCACCTAGCTTTGGCCTAGACGCCCTCTTTCCAGTGGTAGTAGGCAGGTAAACATGAGTCCTCTCCTCTTCAATGCATACTTCGTCGCTCCCAGCCTGCTGAATGGCGATCTTCTGTCTTACAAAGACCATTGGACTGCCTTTCTCCAGACCCTTATGTTCTACAGAGCCGACTGTGGATGTCGATACAGCTTTCTGACCGATGACCAAAGGCTTCTTCCACACCATCCTGCCCCCCGCCCACATCCGTCGCGTGTACGGTTCAGGAGGACAGAAGTCGGCATCCGTGCCATCCCAGCGGAGATCCCGTTCAGGATTACGAGCGTGGAAGAACACAAGATGGTGGCCGTATCCCAGGTTCTGCCCGTCGCCAGGAAGTTGCCTTGGACTCGCCGTACCATCTCTGGTAGGTAGAGTCACATACAGATCCGAAATGTGATCTGAACTTAGGGTCTGCGAGACTGTCAACTGCTTGCTCGAGACAGACTGAGCCCATTGTTGGATCTTATCGGCCGCGATATGGAGGGGCTTATTCTGATGACATCGCCTGTATATTTGGGGTCTGAGTAGAGAGCTCATAGCTATATGATCAGACTCTCCGGCGTAGACTGTATCATAACGAGTGCGAGGTGATGACCTTGAATGTCGGGTTGGGGGAACGAGAACATGTACAGGTGCCGACGCCCAGGGGTGAAGCGATTCGTAGGATGCCGTGGTGCGCTACGTTGGAGTTCTCACGCTCTGGAAGCTCGCGCGAACGCCTGAGTGGCAACAACTGGACCTCCAATTGCCCAAATGTCCTATCCTCCTCCGTACCCCCATCCTTCAGGGCAGCACCATTATCCCTACGCATCATATCCCGCTGGTACACCAGGTGCTTACCCGCACCCTCAAACGCCAAGTCCATACTCTACGACGTCGTATCAGACCCCGGGGGCATATGCATACGGGTCCTGGCACTACCCATACAGTTATTTTCCTCCGCAACCCGGATACGCAGCAAATGCAGCCCAACGACAACCAACACAAGCGCAGCCAGCTGCCACACAAACTGCCGCGCCTGCAGCGACAGCGACCAGTTCACAGCAGGCCCAGCCAGCTACCACTGTGCCTCAGCCGGTGACAGCAGCTGCCCCTCCACGCCAGACCACTTTCACGTCATATACGCCTGCATCCTTTCGCGAGGGGGGAACGGTTGCAGCGGCGAACAGCGGTGGGGCTACGTCCTCGCGGGGTTCGAGGAAGCAGTCCAATCTCAAGGGGTTGTTCTCAAAAGAACGTGAGTCTCCGCCTTGCTGCTGTTTTATCCTGTCACGACGTGGTATGAATGACATTCGTAGTTCGTAACCTTATGTACGGGTTTGGGGATGATCGGAACCCAGCCAATGACACCGTGAACGTGATGGAGGAAATCCTGATTGAGTATATCATCGACGTTGTGAGTGCTCTAGTTGTGCTAAGACCTCCAGCCTTAACGGCATCTAAATCCGCTACAAGTGTCAAACTGCTCTCGCTCCGACACGCAAGACACGCTTGTCGATCGAGGACCTACGGCGAGCTCTGTCCAGGCCCGCTGATGCGAAGAAACTTGCGAGAATGGAAGAGCTGTTGTTTATGCAAGAAGACATCAAGCGTGCTCGGGCACAATTCGAGGAGACTGATATCAAAGAACCGAACGCTTTCTGAGTTGCTCTGGTATGTATCTCTAGTGTACACCGTGTAAATTATCGCCATACTGTACATTACATTTTTGCCGGCTCTGTATGCCAACTAAAATCACGACCGACCTATCGTGCTCTGTCCATTTCGCCCCGCTGTGAACTCACTCCTCCATGGCCTCGCCTTGTGCCTCCTCAGCTTCTCTAGGCTCCGACACTTCTCTGCTTGTGGATCTCGTCGTCCGTAATGCGGCACCTGCATCAAAGCAAATGAGAATATGATTTAAAAATCAGACGACTGCGTCGTACCACCACTCTCGGCCAAGGGTTTTGCATAATGTTTGAGCCATTCTTCTGATTCCCAGACTAGACGGGATATCGTTAATTGTCATCGATACAGTAGGTTCAGAGAGGCAGGAAACGCACTGGCTCTGTTTTGCGGCTGCTGGAGACCCTTCATCGGCCGCGCAAGGTTGACCTTAAGCACCCTCCCGCGAAGCTCGTTCATGTCCATGTTATCGATGGCATCCTGCGCGTCCTCCGCCGACGAGTATGTGATGAAACCGAACCCCCGATGCTTGGCCTCTAGGCTTGCAAATCAGTATACTCCCGAACGTAACGCGACGCAGGGAGCAAGTACCTACCTGCTTGCTGGTACTGATTCGTAGCTGCCTGCGGCAGCTGCACCTCTATGACATCCCCTGATGGTTGCGTGAATTGTCAGTGAATCGACAAGAGATGCAGTCCGGCAATCGGCGTACCGAAGGTTGCAAATGTCTCGACGAGGACAGCTTCGTCAACATCGTCACCTAAGCCGCCTACGAAGATAGTCTTCTTTGTTCTCGTGCCTTCCTCCATGAGTTGTGCGCACCTTGGTTAGAACGCCGTCGAGCACTTTCGAGGGGAGCTACACGAGAGTAGGATTGGGTGAGGACTTGGTGTGGCAACTACGGGGCGACCTCGGTGGCTGCTGTGAGGCAACCCGGAAGCCATGCTGCGTGAGATGCACAGCCACAGAGGCAGCAGGAGGCCGGAGATTCAAATTCCCCTATCGTTATGTCCTCCTCGCCGAGATTGGAAGTGTCCTAAACGAGGTGATCTCTCCCAATACCACTGCGGTCCTTGAGCTCGAAGTTGCAGCTCATGGCTCTTGTCTTTTTGCCCTGTCAGTGACGGCTGCTCCCCAACATCACCTTATTTATGCTCGATTTACCCACTGTCGCGCGTTCATCATACCCCACAAGGGATCAGGTGTCTCAGGCTGCGATGCTCGTCTGCCAGTACTCGCCAGCAAATAGGTTTCAAACATGACGTGATTAAAAGGGGCGGCATACCCTGAGAATGTTCATACCGTTCAGTAGGACCTCGACACGGAGATCATTCGGACGCCTACGCCGTCGCTTTATCGGGGACATCTCTCGTTTCATACGCCGAGTTCGAAGACATACAGAGTCATCAAGGCAGACGGGCGGTCTGTACTAGCACAAGAGGGGTTAATAGATTTTAACTTGATCGCTGTTACCTTGCCACTTCCTCCCGCGGTGGATTTTTCCCTCAGCAGTATACGACCGTGCTTGGCCCTGACGGGATGCCGATAGTCATTTGGAGAGCTACTTAAGCCAACCTTTCTCCATGCCTCTTGGTCCATCACATTCCCCACTTAACAGCCATGCTTTCTCAGCTGCGGCTGCAGCACGAGTCCGACACCGAATCCGTATCTTCCCCCGGCACTTCTGGCTCGTTCGACGAAGATGAAGTCAACACTCGTCTTGCGCCGTGCTGGCAGAAGTACCAACGTCTCCTAGAGCGGAGAGGCATACACCTTGATACCTACAGGGATGTGCAGGATCTCTATAGGCGTGAATGCGCCGGAGCAACGCCGGAAACTCTGTCGACAATAACCCGCCAAGCAGGCTACATCCATGCGTTCTGCTGCGACGACGATAGTGCGCTGTGCCGCGACCCAGGCCTTGTCCGTAAATCCTCTTATCTCGACCCCTGCCGCTCATTAACATCGTCGTTGACAGCCCGACAACCTCTTTAGAGGAGTTAGACTTGCGGACGGATTGAAAGTCATTGTGAAAGCTGTGCATCTTTTCAGCCGGGAATATGATATCATACGATACCTATCAACTCCCGCTCTCAGAGATGATCCCATGAATCATAATATCCGTACGGCATTCATCTCACCAGCCCTTGGTCTTACTTAGCCATTCTGTTAGCTGTCCTCGACCTTATCGAGGTTCCCTGCGACTACATAGCATTTATAGCCATGGAAGAATGGCACTCGCTATTGGTGATCGATCCCCCCTCTTGCCTTCGGGCCTTCCTCGGCGCGATCCGACAATGTCTGGAGGTGTGTTCACTTCTTCGCCCACACTCCTGCCAAGGCACTCACATTTGGTATCGCAGCATGTCGTGTTCTTGCATCGACATCACATCGCCCACCTCGACATATCCATGCGGAATCTACTGACAGACTGCAATGGACGTTATGGGTATATCGACTATGAATTAAGCCGTCGGTTTGACGGAATACCGAACCCTCTACTCTGCGGAGGCCGTGGTACGGAAGTGGCGCCGGAGCTTGAGAACGGCGGATGCGGGGATCCTTACAAGGCTGACGTGTGGGCGTTGGGTGTATTCCTTCTCCGCGGCTGTAAGGTCCGTCTCGCATCGCAACAGGCGTGGATCGTTTACATTTGGTTCTTATCTCATTGCTTCCAGCTGACCGGTTACAGTATCCCTGAACTGACGAGCTTGACACGAGAAATGCTCAACCGCTGTCCCGATAATAGGCCGACAGCAGCCACTGTATTAAAGGCGTTCGATGCCATGGTCCTTCCCATTGGCGAGGATAGGAGCGATAGGCACGAATAAGGACTCCCTTCACATAGCTGCAGGTGCTCCCGACTGGATCTACTTCTGTCCTGCTGTATATATACCACGGTGCTCGTTGTTTTACCGACTCACGCATGCTGTAGTAACTGTAATATGTGTGTGATATCGCTCGGATACCATGAATTAATACATGTTCCTATACAATACAGTCGCTATACTACGGTCCCACTGATCCTACTCCAATGACTTTCATTCGGGCTAGGAGCCCTCGGGCGGCGGCGAACTTTGACTCTGCTGCTCCAATCTCTGTCTTTTCCTGGCCAGGTATCTTTCCCTCGCACTTTGCACGGACTCTTCATTATTCCGCTTGGCTGCGATTCGGGCAGTCGCCTCCTTCTCCTTTTGCTCCTTCTCTCTTGCCATCCGTTCGCGCTCCTCTTCCATCTGTTTCAGGACCTCCCTCCGCCGCCGCTCGTCGATCTCCCTTCGACTTGCAGCGGTACCAACGGCAGTGTGGACCTGCACATCATTCCCGTTCGCATCCTTCTTCTGCGATGTGGATGTTTTCAACCCAAGCCGTCTGGTATTCGGCAGAGATAGGTTCAATCCCGCGGATAGTAGTTCACGCTTGTCCACTATCTGATTATCGTCGTTCAATTCCACCTGTTTCCCTTCTGCACTCGCTAGCTTGGCCAGTTCGACATCAGACTTCGGCACATAGTCTGCGGGCTTCGAGATTGTTAGATTCGGCATGGAGGGTCCGGCGACTTTCTGAGTCTGTTCAGCATTCACAGCTGCAATAGTTTCTTCATGTTCTTTTTCCGACTCTTCGAGCAATTGCCGATAGAAATGGACCATGCCCGTGGTCAGGCCCTTGTTCTTCTTCTTCTCTTCCTCTGCAGATGCGAACCGTCGCTGTCACATACAGAATATAAGGATACCTAGAGAAGACATACCTTCGCGCCGTTTCTCTTCCTCTTCCGCTCTCCGGACTTCTGCCAATTGGTCTTTGTAAGCTTGGGTAACGAATGCTTCTTTGTCTTTGAACTCGTCGCCTTCCATCTCCCGCTCCCTCTGAATCATCTTCTCTTCCGCGCGTAAGTGGTCCAAGCGCCTGGTCGCAGCCGATTGGAGTAGCCCTGCAATGTATTTAGGCTACCAAATCTCGGTCATGAGCGCGAAGGACATCGTGCGGGTAGGGTTGACTCACTTTACGCTCTTTGGCCTCGGCTTCCTTAGCCAGCTTCTGTCTGGCCTTAGCCTCCTGCATTTTCTCGTACACTTCATCATACTCGAAAACAGAGGAGTCCAGTTTCTGCTCCTGCTCCATCTTCTTCCTAGTGGCTTTGGAGGTGCCTACATTCTGGGCTACCAGCTTCTTGTTGACTGAGGCCTTCCCATCAGCAGAAGCAGTTGGGGCTGCGTCCACATCATCGTCAAGACTGGCGAACGCGGAAGGTGGCTTGAGTGGAGGAGCTGCCCCCGCTGGCTTGGACTTATTGGTGAGGGAGAAGGAGAGCTTCATGCGATCGCGCTTCAGTTACGTAAGCCATCCAAGTCCAGTGTGAGTTTGTGGCAACTTGCCACACTTACTGCAACCTTGCTCAGCATGGCTGCCTTCGACCGACGCAGGATCAATGGGCCGGAAGAGAGCTATCCACCTGTCTTTGACGAAGATGATATCGATGATGCATTATACGCGAACTGGAAAGTCGGGCAGCCGCGGCAGGGAAGACTACCAGGCGATGTACGTCCTATATGTGCGGCATTTGTGTAGATATATCTCACTACACAAACACTCTCTGACTTCCCTCCGTGATGTATCAGTTATAAGGCCTGGTCTTATTAATCAAGCCAATGGATCGGCGTACGTAGAGACTGAGAAAACCAAGCTTGTCTGTGCTGTGTATGGTCCCTTTCCAATTAATACGTCAATCGTAACTGAGGCTATCCAAAATCGCAGCTATGGTCCTCGGCAGTCTAAGAATACCTCATACAGCGAGAAAGGACGTCTGAATGTCGAGGTCAAGTTCGCACCGTTCTCGTGCAAAAAGCGTAGAGCGCCTATACGGGTAAGCTTAGAGGTTATGCTTGCTTACCGGAAGTTGACGGTGTAGAAAGGATGCAGAAGATAGGTCCGTCGCTGTCCAGATACACCAGGCTATCCTGCCGTCTGTACGGTTGGAATTACTACCGAAGTCTACCGTCGACGTATTCATAACCATAATTGAGAATGACGGGCTGGAGAGTTGTTACGCGTCTGGTGCAATCGCAGCAAGTGCAGCGCTGGCGGATGCTGGTATCGAGATGCTGGGATTAGTCATGTCGTGCTCGAGCGTGAGTCTATCCGTTCACGTAGAGAACGCCCATCTCTCAACCTTACCACTGGTTAGTCCGTCGTGGGGAAGGAGATCTGGTTGGATCCTACTGAGCACGAAGCACGCATCGCCAAGGGCAGCTTGGTGTTTGCATGTATGCCGGCATTAGGAACTGTAACCAGCGTCTGGCAATCAGGAGAGGTGACCCCTAGTGAAGCGATGGAGGTGAGTGCTAGCATTCCATCTGACGCCTAGTTACCCATTCTCGGGTTAGTGCATGGAAGCTTGTCAGGAACGTTGTACGGACATACATGCTGTTGTATCTGAAGCTTTAGTCGCGAATGCGAGGGTCACATAGCATAAATTGAATCAAATGCGAAATCCCTCATGTTACGTCTTGCTTTGACTCGACCTTGTGGCCATAAGCAATATCTGTCCGTCTTTCTAATGGATTTTTCCAACTACTTGTTTCCCGATTGTTTGCTGCTACTTTGCGCTATGTATTCTTCACCGAAGCTCGAAGGGTTTACCGCCGGCTACATACGATCGACGCGCATGGACGAGTGATCCGGTCCACGCGTAACAAGGTCGTAAAAGGCCCGCTCTTCAACGTTCCTTGGTAACTCCTGTATTCCCTCCCGTGCACGCTTAATCATTACGACTGCTCGAACGTCAAATAACGCGCAATATTGCATGTCTACTAGGGAGGATTACTCGGCATTGAAGTCACCCTCAGGAGGCACGGCACCCCAAAGCTACTTCCCATCTCCCCCGCCATCTCGCACCTCTAATGAATCAGACGAATCCTTACGAGCCTTGGAATTATCCGAAGGTCCTGAACCGCCAGAACTCCTGACAAGAGGACGTGTTGCACGTTCCTACTCCATATCGGGATTCAATTTCGAATCCGAATTATTGCCTCTGAGCACGAGCCTCAGTGAGCCAGATGAGCGCGGAGAACCCGCTGAGAAGAATATTGGGCTGATTAGTGGTGAGTTCTATCTGTTGCCACTGCCCTCCTGTAGGGAATGCTGACCTGGAGCTTGCGCTGGAAGGGATTGCATTATGTGTGGGCATGCAGGTAAGCTCACTGGTCATAACCATTCCGACATGCAAGTAACATTCAGAAGATAGGATCCGGAATCTTGTGAGGTCATATTGCGCCTCCTGTGTGCACACGAATAACTGAGAGGTGTCAGTTCCTCTCCTGGTGTGGTGGTCGCAAATACCCAGAGTGTCGGGGCGAGCTTGCTGGTCTGGCTTGCGTCGGGTTTATTAGCATGGACGGGCGCGAGTAGTTTCGCAGAGCTGGGCTCAACTATACCCATTAATGGCGGAGCACAAGCGTATCTAGCGTACTCCTACGGGCCTCTGGTGTCATACCTCTTTGCTTGGACATCCATATCCGCTCTCAGACCCGGTATGAATCTCTTTGGTATTGTGAATATGGTCTTCCTCTCACCAGTGCATATCGCTTCATCTCTCTTCTAGGCGGGAGTGCAGTCATTGCGCTTATCTTCTCGGAATATCTTAATCGCCTCTTCTGGCATGCTACGCCTGCTGAGGTATCTCCCGACGAGATTCCTCAATGGGCGATCAAACTTACTGCAGTGGCTGCAGTCCTGTTCATATCCGTCCTTTGTGTTATGACACGAAATCTGGGTACCAGGGCGGCTGTGGCATTCACGACAGTAAAAGTGAGTGCTGTTGGAACAAAGTCGTCAGCTTTTCTTACGAATCACCCCGTCCCGCAGATAGCTGCTTTGGTATGTAAAATTGGGAGGGATACAGGAAGGGCTCCGGTTTGACTCGTTTCTACGTCGTAGATGGCTGTTACCGTCCTTGGCATTATCCAATTAGCTCGTGGACGTGCTTCATCTTCGCTACGGGAACCGCTATTTACAGGTTCCAGTCAAAGCCCTTCTTCATACGCCCTGGCTTTATACTCGGGCCTCTGGGCATTCGACGGTTGGGACCAGGCGAACTACGTTTGCGGAGAGATGAAGAATGCCGAGCGCAACCTGCCTCGAGCCATACATTCCAGCATGGCGATTGTCACGGTTTGTCTGCACATTTGCTTGCTTGACCAATGATTGTCTCACGTACCTCAGCTTTTATTCTTGCTCGGCAATGTTGCCTACTTCGTAGTGCTGGACAAGGTGAGTTATTCGGCTGCCGATTTGATATGTCTCCTGACTAGACATCCTTGCACATAGGTTACAGTGGGCCTGAGCAATACCGTCGCGCTCGATTTCGGGCGGGCCCTGTTCGGCCCTATAGGAGGGAGCATTTTCGCGTTTATGGTTGCATTTTCCTGTTTTGGTGCCCTAAACGGTAGGTACCCAGGGCTATGCGCAGTATATTCGGTTTAACATTCTGCTTTAGGAGCCGCTTTCACGTCCGCGCGCCTTATCGCAGTAGCAGGGCGAGAGCATTATCTTCCCGCTTGGTTTGGAAAGTTACACACTACCCGCAAGACGCCGGTTAACGCGATGTGTCTGCATGCTGCTATCACAGTCTTGTTCATTGCCGTCGGCGGTGGATTCCGATCCCTGATCAACTTTGCCGTCGTAGCATCCTGGGCGTTCTACTTCCTTACTGTAAGCGATACCATTGTTGACATTTCGAAATTATCTGACCTTTCCGCAGGTTCTGGGTCTGGTGATTCTCAGAGTGAAGGAACCTTTGCTAGAAAGGTATTTGGTTCTGCTTACCTTGACTTGTGGAAGTTTAAATTTGTTTCCAGACCATATAAGACATGGATAATTACGCCATTAACATTCTGTGCTGTGAGTGACCGACGTATTTGTTACAACCGTGCTCTAATCTCGGGCTGTCGTTTAGGTTGCTCTCTTCCTCCTGTGTATGCCTGTTATAGCGGCTCCGCTTGAAGCTCTTGCGGTGCTGGGTGAGGACTAATTAATCACCTGCTGTCCACTAATGCTGACTATCTCTCTCTAGGTTTCGTTTCCGCCGGTGTACCTTTGTACTATATCACCCATCGAAATAGCCCGGACGTCCAGAATTCACGAATATTCAGTGCGTGCACCGAATTTCCGACGTTCTGCCACTAACTGACATCCACTCCATAGCGGTACTTTCGTCTCTATGGGCACGTATTCGGGGCCGACCGGCTTCTGGTGCAGGATGGCAGGCGGTCGCCACGGAGGGGGACGAGCTGGAAATGTCGGAAGGAAGACGGCGGAGACCATAAACGCGGACAGCCATTCATATAGTTAATGTCGCCATCCCGGCGTATCGTAGAGTCAAGTGGATGCGGTGTGATACCACTGTAATCCTTACTAATGTGGCATCGGGCATAGATTTCTTGGACGAAGGTCAGGACGTCAGACGCCCCATGTCAGCTGTATGGGCACTTGACTCAACAAGTCCTGATGCTATGATCTGCTATGATACTTTCCGCTCTCTGGGGGACAGTTGCTTCTGCTCCCATAATCAGTTGCGATATCATGATTCGTTACCAAGTCCTGGTACTCTGACTAGTACTGTTACAACTGTAACATCCCACCGGGAAGGTCCGTAGCAGCGGGTCAACTTAGTAAGGCCGTGGACGCAGTAATCGCGCAATCGATCATATAAGAGGATGGTCTCCTGCCGCTACCGTTGCGATCTGTAACTACTACTAGCCCTTTTATCTGCAACTACCCATTGACCGATAGTACGTGTCTGGCAACCCCTACTTTCTCATTCGTACACTGATAGTAAACGTCCTCACTCTCATTCTAACCATAGATTCCGCTATGGTGAGTTACCCTTCCCCGTGGCGAGACTTCTTACTGACCGCGCCGGAATGAACGGTGACGCAGTCCGAACACACCTACAAGTTTGACGTCAAGGTAAGGATTCGCCGCGGCTTGGATGGGAGTGCACGATCCTGATCATAGCGCATTGTGCCATGTATTCATAGATGACCTGCTCGGGCTGCTCCGGCGCTGTCGACCGTGTCCTCAAGAAGGCCGAGGGTGCGTCCATTCTGTGTGCCAATCGTGTTGTGAAGCTAAGGCTCGATTACGCGCAGGTGTGAGCTCGTATGACATCAGCCTCGAGAAGCAGGAGGTCATTGTGAAGGGCACGATCCCGTATGATGATTTGCTGGCAAAGATTCAGAAGACGGGCAAGGAGGTGCGTAGTGTTTATTCTTGGGATCGGATGGGAGGCTGATTGAGTCGCGCTATGTTGGATAGGTTCGTTCTGGAGAGACTGTTGCCTGATCCTGCCCGCGGCCAGTAGATGGATATCGGAAGTTTCCTTCACTGTACTGGTATCTTTGTGAATGTCTATATAACCGGTAATGTAGCCTGAGTTTGGATTTTGTGGAACTATTGAGTCTCGGCGTGGTTGTGGCAAAATGCCTTTCAGGTCGATCATCCCTAACCATTACTGAGCAACAACGGCTATAGCGATGCCGACTTGGCGTTCTGTCAGGAGCCACAGACGGCCTCCGTCGGAGGGGCAGGTGGTATTAGACGATGCAAGCAAATCCTTTCCTTAAAGTTGACAGGGAGCGTTGTTGGTCGCGAGTCCCGAGAATAACTCGAACGGCAGGGGTAAAATTAGTATGCTTTGCTTATCCAGCAGTGAATGCCGAGAGCAAGCCGAGCAAGCGACATATGAACCCGTGCAGGAGCGAGAACGATGGAAAGAGAATGCAATAAAACAGAATACAAGGCTGAAGAAATGGTGCAGGCTGGCGAGTGGTTTGCATGGCAGGAACCGGGCGAGTGGATAAATGGATCTAGAATAGATCTGGACAGTCCTCGATTGCCTGCCGTCGCAATCCAAGAATGGGCCCGGTGGCTGCGGCCTTCCCTGCCCAGCCTCGGACAACTCCTCCCTCTATGTTTTCTGAACATCCCTGTCTCCTTCCACGACATCCCCCTCCTCCCAACACCGAAGACAGCGAACACGGTCTTGGACCGAGCCGACTCTGTGCCCGTGTATACTGGCCTGGCTGCTGATCCGTCATGTCTGCTCCGACTTCCACTCTGACACCCAATCCGACCACCCCAGCGTATCCGGACGATGTCGAATGGATTACCGCGTACCTCACAATCCATATGCTTAGCGTCCCCAGCCGACGCTACGCCTATCTGCTGTGGATTGTCGTCGTGTTCTTCTTCCTGCTCTTTGCAGTCTTGCACTGGACTGGCTCGAGGGGCGGCTCGCTCGGTGCGTACTGGACAAAGTGGGCTATTCGTCGGAGGACATGGCGCAAGAAAGGCAAAATTGCCGCTGCCCGCAAGAAGGGTGATATGCGTGCGCAGCCCATGCCGATGTCTTCGAACGCACAGATCCTCTGTTTAGCAGCAATTATCCTAGGAAGCCTTGCCCTCTGCTTTGTCGGACCGGACTACATCGCTCCCGGAAGCAAGGTATGGCAATTTGGCCACAACAGTACTATTAACTCTATCTCGAAACGCGCTACCTATGATATCTCAATGTTTACCCAATACCAACCCCAATACACTATACCCAAAGCCTGGTGGACCGTCGGAGGACGCGCAGGTCTCATTGCATTTGCTCTATTCCCCCTATGTATTCTATTCGCACTCAAGGCCCCTCCTTTCGCCATATTCGCCATCCCTTTCATGATCCAACTTCACTTCGACAAACTCGCCTGGCTGCACCGCTGGGTCGGCCGATTAATATGGTTCATCACTGCCTTGCATGTCGCCTTCTGGAGTATCCAACTTGCCAAGGACCAACGTGCAGGCACGGGTAAAGTTGCGTATACTTACGCTTGGCAGTACGAGAAATTCATCTACGCCTGGATCGTGAGTGCCGATCAACACATCCGTTGTCCTGATACTTACATAGATCATCCAGGCCTTTGGCTGCATGACACTACTGATATTATTATCTATTGCGCCGCTGCGTAGGACTCACTATGAGGCCTTTTATTTCCTACACATTCTCTTGGCGCCTCTCACCATCGTCATGTCAGCACTACACCATCCACCTGTCTGGATCTGGTGCTGGGTCGCCCTCGCGCTTTGGGGATGCGAAAGACTTTGGAGGGCTACCTGGTGGCTGTCGACCAACGGATTCTTCGGTAGCTCAGTCCGTGTTCCCGCTGTCGACGAGAAAATGGCCTTGTATCAGGGTTCTGGTAAGAGGACCGAGAAGTCTGAGATGCTCGTACCCACTCCCTTCCCACCACCTGCGATCATGCCCTCTGCCTCAGCATCTCAGCAGACCCTCATCAGCCCTGTGCCCCCTACTCCCACCTCTGCTAAGGTGAAGCCTCCCCCTTCTGCGTACAAGCCGCCGCACTTGCCTGGAGAAGAGAGCCAATTATCATATCCGCCCTCTGAAAATACCGCATACCCCCCATCCACGTTCCGGTCCAACTCCTCTGTCGACCTCGCGTCCATCGCCCCTCCCACTGTTTACTCTTACGTCCCGCCGCCAGGATATGCTCACGCGGAGTTGCTGGCGGGTATGACTGTCCGGCTTCGATTTATTACCCCTGGGTATCTCTCGTGGGCACCGGGACAGCACTTCCTCATTACGGTCCCTGCCATCTCAAGATTTTGTACCCACCCGTTCACATGTGCGAGCATATGCGACGAAGAAGCTCCAGGAGACGAAGGGAGAGAAATTGTTCTCCTTATCCGCGCGAAGAACGGGTGGACGAGGGATTTGTGGGACGAGATAGTCACGATGTCAGCTAAAGGCCAGAAATACCACCCTTCAGAACACCCGCCAGTAGGGAACGGGGAGAAGGGCGCACAATGGCAGGTGCCCAGCAGAGGTGTGTTGTTGAAGGTTTTCGTGGACGGGCCCTTCGGAAGTGCTATCAGAGCCAGGTGGGGCGAGAATTCCACAGCTGTGATTGTTGCTGGCGGGTCTGGTGTGAGCTTCGGTATGTCCGTGCTAGAGTATCTGTGCCTTTGTATGGCTGGGAGAGATGGGAAGTTCCTCGGCGGACGACCTGGTGGGTGGGGTAGGAAGGGTTTCCGCCTACGGCGGATCCGGTTTGTGTGGCTAGTGCGGGAATTCTGTGAGTTAGAATATTTATGATGTCCTGTCGGGATGCTCACTTTTCCCTTAGCTCATATCCAATGGTGCGCTTCAGTTATCCGGAGGTGCATGGCCATGATTCCAGAGCCTGGTCTGCGAGTGGATATATTCGTGACCAATGCCAAATCGGCGCCGGACCTTCGTCCTCCGCCACAGCTGTCTGCTCCATCCCAGCAGCCAAAGGGAGCATCCACCGAGTTCTTAGCTCCTCCTACTCCTCAATACGCCAAACAGGGACGTGCTCGTTCAGGGTCAACGTCATCCACATCGTCTGTGGAAAGCCAGGACGACGCCGCGTCGGTGAACGAGTATGTTGATCTCAGCTACTACACCGGAGAGTATGTAGATGAGGAGACGTTCTCTGCGGGGGAATTCGGCGACATCAACGTGGTTGACCTCACGAACTTCGACGGAGATGACGACACTGTCTTGCCTGGTGAGGCGCAATTCAGCAAACGCGTGAAGAAAGAGGGCAAGGTGCGGCGGAGGCAGTCTCGCAAGATGAATAATGCGAAACTCGCGAAGCTGCAATTGGAAGACAAGGCGACCGAGGAGAGGAGATCGCGGCATCGGGACAATAGGGCCTCTGCGTCTTCGACGGACAGGCTCCTGTCGCCGATTCTCTCTCCGGCTTCTCCTGTCAGCAATAAGCGTGCGAGCGCCGCGTCTTCGCATTATTCGTTGGGATATGCTGACATGGGCAATGGACCGAGTGCGGCGTCGTCTTCGGCCACTGTGCTCGATAACGTTCATAGTCCGGTCTCGCCTGGCCCGTTCCCTCCCAGTCGCTCGTCTAGCCCTGCGTCTGGGGTCAGATTCCAGGACGGAAAGGGCGGAGCCCGCGGGAGGTCGGCTGATTGGGACGCACAGACAACGCACGGCAGCATCTACGCCATGATGCCCACCGTAGGCACTGGATCGCATGGAGAGACAGTGAAGCTGGAGGTGGATGCGCAGGAGATACGAGATATTGGATTCGTTTCGGAGCACGCCTGGCCTGGGAGACCGAAGTTAGAACGAATACTCGCGGACGAAGTGGAAGCATCCAAGGGTTCCGTGATAGTAGGATGTAAGTCCACCATGAAAGTGAATGTCTAATTATTTGCTGACGGAGTTGTGTTCCAGGTTGTGGTCCTATATCGCTGAATGCTGTCGTGCGGAAAGCGATTGCTTCCCAGATAAATCCTGCGCGAATACGTCGTGGAGATATGCGCGGATCCATCTCGCTCGTTTCGGAGGAATTTGAGTATTAGCCTCGGACTGTACCTATCCACGAACGGACTTGTTAATAGTCAATGTAAACAAACCGGACTTGGTACGGCAACGTAGTTGTAAATTACGGGTCCTTGTAGAGTCTGTTGCATGCATCATAATACATAGTCGTAATGTACTTAGAAGCGGTCGTCGAGCAGGGTAGCTTGTGGCTCAGTGACTGAGACGATCGGACAGAATTAGAAGTCGTTGCTAAAAGAGGTTGTTGTGGCGTCCACATCTATGTCGTCGGTGTCTTACTACAGGGCTTGGGTGCAGGTATTGACCAAGCTAGTCTCTCCAAGCGTTCTAAGCTCTTGCTTGAGCCCCAGTTTTCCGCGCTCGTCTCACGAAGCGATCTACGTTTTCCGTCGAGAAATGAGCTCACAATCATCCATCGTGGTTCCTGAGGGTTTCACTCTGCACACAGAAAATGCTGCCCATATTCTTCTGCCGTCCTCAAATGAAGCGTTCCTGAATCCTGTGCAAGAGTTCAATCGTGATATGAGCGTAGCCTGTATCCGAGTGTATAGCGAAGAAGTTAATCGAGAGAAGGAAGCTAGGTGGAAGAGAAAGCAGGAGTACAAGGCTAAGAAGGCTGAGTCCGGTTCGAAAAACAAGAAGGCAAAAAGTGAGCAGTCACGATCCATCATGTGCTGAGACTGGAGGAAAGAGTCGATAGCAGTCTCTAACTCGGCTGGCGGCACCCATGGATCGGAGGCCCACGAACAAGATGCAGTAGAAGATGCAGGACCCGGTCAAGGTCCGTCTTCTGCGGACTCCCCTGAGTTGAAGGCCCAAGAGGTATGACCAGTCCGAAGTGATTCCCAGTATAAGGAATACGCTTACGTTTCCTTAGTACCGCCCCTACACCATCGAAATCCTCGAAGCACTTTCCGCTACCGGTCTGCGCTCCATCCGATACGCCAAAGAGATCCCCCTCGTAAAGTGAGCATCTGACTGACCTATTTCATCTGTAATGAAGATTTACGGATAGTCTCTGATCTCAGTTATGCAGATATGTCATCGCTAATGATCTATCTCCTTTGGCCGTGGAAGCCATGAAGAGGAATATTGAAATTAATGGCCTTGGACCCAAAGATGATGTGACACCGGATCCCTCTGGATCTTCTGCAGAACCCGTCCTCAAGGGGACACACGGCAAGCAGGATTTGGGAAAGGTAAAAGTCAAAGTCAAAGAAGGGGACGCTTGGTACGTGGCCATTCGTGTCTCAAGCCAAATAACGTACAGTTGAACCGCAGGTTGACAGTGCTCTCATGTACAACCATCGTCCCGAGCGGAGTCGAGTCGATGTAGTCGATCTAGATCCATACGGTACGGCCGCACCCTTCATCGATGCAGCTGTACAATGCGTCAAAGATGGAGGTGAGAAGAAGCTCTACTTATATATGTGCATCAACCTGAGATTCATACTCGCAGGTCTCTTATGTGTCACATGCACAGATCTATCTGTCTTAGCCACCACCAATTATCCCGAAAAATGGTAGAGTGCTTGCCTTCGGCCATCCTATTCGAGTTGACGTTCTGGATCAGTTTCTCCAACTACGGAGGAATACCTGTGAAATCGGAGTACTGCCACGAAGCAGTAAGTTCCGTCCCAATGGATTCCTCCTTGCTTAATTCCTTCGACTGTCTAGGCCCTACGACTTGTGCTACACGCCGTATCCACGTCTGCTGCGCGGTACGGTCGCTTCATTCAGCCCTTGCTGTCATTATCGATCGACTTCTATGTCCGTTTATTCATCAAAATAAAATCCCAGCCGATCGAGGTCAAGAAAGCCGCTAGGTGAGTACCTGTCCATCTGCTACTGGTGTGAAATGGTGACATGAACACACGACATCAGTAAAACGTCAACATACTATGTCTGTACCGGGTGCCAATCATTCTACGAGCAGCCGCTAGCTAGGACCGTGGAGCAGGTTCACGAACGCTCTGGCAACGTTAACTTGCTTTTCAAGACCCATGCAGGTCCTACGGTACCGGAGAGATGCACAGAGTGCAATTCAGTTTTGCATGTCAGTGGATGTTTATGTTTCTACTTACAGTAGCTAATCCATGCATCCAGGTGGCGGGTCCGATGTGGTCGGGCCCTCTACATGATCCAGAATTTGTCGGGAAGGTGCTTGAACACTTAGAAGCCGATGCAGATCATTATGGCACGTCTACTCGGATGAGGGGCATGCTAACCGTGGCGAAGGAGGTATGATTCTTACCGCTATCTTTTCCCCGTAGTCTCACTGAGGGTCATTAGGAATTAACGTTTCCGTTCTATTTTACTCCTGCGAAGATATCTAGCTTCTTCCATTGCACCTGTCCTTCACTAGACGATGTTGCGTGAGTGATGGGAATTCAATCCCCTCTTTTCTCGTTGTTAACATGAAATGCGTATAGATCTGCGCTGCTCCATGCAGGCCATAGCGTGTCAAGATCACACGCCTGCGCAGGCTCCTTGAAGACGTCCGCCAGTCGTCGAGATGTCCATGATGTCTTCCGTTCCTGGATAAAGACACATCCCGTCAAGATGGAAAACGTCTCGGAAAAGTCTCCTGCACATCAACTACTTGCGAAGGAACCGAGGTGGGATGTCCATTGTCGATGCATGTGATGGAAGTCTGAAAAGTAGTCGTCAGCTTTGAAGCCAACTTCAAGCGCCACCCTCTTTCGGTTACGCCCTCGGCCAAGGTCAAATTGGTACGGTATCAGCAGAACCCGACTGCAAACTGGGGCCCAGGTACTAAAGCAAGCTCGGGTACAAAGCGCAAAAGAGATCTGCAGGAGTCATAGGATTGAATTATGACTAGGTGGTTGCACTCTATGATACAATGTAAAGTATGGACACGACATCTACAAACATACATACCGAGGATAATAAGTTGCGACAGTCCAGTCCGTAAGAAACGACGGAAGCCCGAACAAACGAAGTAGAGAGAGGGTCATGAAGCCGATTTGCTGGACGACTTTTGTGCTATCCATGGATGCTCGAGCAGCATTCCAGCTGTCGGCCGAGCCTCGTGATTGAGCTCGAACGTGCGTTGCAGGAAGTCTTCCGCTTCTGCCGAGATGTCTGGTGGGATGGAAGGCTTCGCGGATTGTCCAATCTACAGGAGAAGGCATGCTAAGCGAAGAGGGAATGCTTGTAAGGCCATGTCCTTTACCTTAAATATAGCTTGCATTTGATTGAGTTGAGGGAAAGGATGCTCGCCGGTTAGCATCTCGACGATCAAACAGCCAAGGCTCCAGACATCGGCTTTGATAGTATGTGCCGACTGTTTGACAACCTCCGGTGCCATCCAGAAGACTGACCCCTGTAGAGATATCCGTGGGCCACGACCATTATTGAAGAGGTCTGAGATACAAAATTAGCATATCTTGAGATGCAACAGTGAAAACAACGCACTGTCTTGAACCTTCTTCGAAATACCGAAATCGGATATCTTAACGCCGCCTTTGTTGTCAACGAGGATATTAGCTCCTTTAATATCCCTATGCACGATGTCTCTTTCGTGCAGGTAGTTCAGACCCTGAAGAATTTGGGTGACGAATTTCTTAACCAAAATCTCCTCGAACGATCCGTACTCGCGAAGCAAAGCAGCAACTGAACCACCCGGAACGTACTCCAGGAAGATGTTCAAATGTTCATCGTCAGCCGATGAGTCTGCGAGGCATCAACAACTGAGACTACAAAACAGGGCGGCATGACTCACCGAGATATTGGACAATGTTTTCGTGCTGCAGGGTCTTAAGAAGTTCAATCTCCCGGTCCAATGCGTCCAGCATGCTTCGTTTTCGCTGCTCATTAGGGCCAGAACTCTTGGGAAGTTCCACTTGTTTGACTGCCATGAGCGTGCCACTAGATGCGTCCATCCCCAGGTACACCTTGCCAAACGACCCAGCACCGATGAGGGCGCCTTTGATCCATTTTATTCGCTTGACTGCGTTCACCGTGAGTGTCAGATACAATGGTTGTTGCGGGACCACGAATAGCTTACCTCCGTTCGATGTAACTGCTTTCCCTGCCTCATCCACGTCTACTTCTTCTTCCACTTCTTCTTCTAACTCCTCTTCGTCCTCTTCTTCTGAATCTTTTTCCATTTCCTCGGCTTTCTCAATCTCAACTCCGACCTCAGTTTCACTAGACTCTTCATCGCTATCACCGGAGCCCACTTGGGTCCAATCATCGGAGCCTCCAGCCCCAAGAGATTTGCTTATCCTCCTATTCTCGACTTCCGCTGTGATCTCGTCCACGGTCATCATGCTAGCTGTGTCAGATACATCCCTCTTACTCCGCAGTTCCGTAATGTAGCTCATCCGCTTCGAGGCTCTTGACATAGTTCGCGACATTGACTCGGAGCGCAAGCCGGGTGAAGTCAGACTTTCCATAGACTCTGATAGTGACTCTGAAGGGAATGTCACCGGAGGTAGCAGATGTGGCTTCGAGTCCCGCTTAGAGCCAACATCTTGTTCTTCCGCTGGGATATCGATAGACTGTCCATCCTCAGTGGAGAGGGACAAGCGAGGGGGATTTTCTTGCTTGGGTGTTTGCAATGCACTTAGATACTCGGATGTCTTCTCTGGTACGGGAGGTGGAGGAGAGGAGATGGAAGCCCTTGATGGAGAAATGGACCGTCGTTGCGAGCCTATTGTACTGACACTGAACCGAGAATTGGGTTGAGCGGCCAATGACGCAGCACTGTCCCGTCTTCCCAATGCATTCCAGGATCCATTTGCACGAAGCATACTATTCCTCGCCGTGCGTTGCAGGACCTTCTTCTCCGTGAAAGGGAAGTACTCCGGCAAGTGGCTCGTAATGAGCTCGCTGGGAGGTCGCTGTCCAAAAAAGTTTCGCAATTTCGAAGGCGTCTTCTTGTTGGTCCCGTTCGGGGTTGATGGCTTCTTCCCACCGCTCGATGGCGAAGGTGGAGGATCCAGGACCTTCTCCGGGTCAGGCACTCCGAGGCCGCTCAGAACACTGACAGAGCTGGCGCGTTTGTAGTTCACAGCCCGTTGCTGCTCCGCAGCCAGGGATTTGGCGTTCGATGGGGACGACTTGCCGTCACCGTTCTCCTCGTCCACGGAAACCTTGATACTTCCAAAGAGCGGGCTAGTCGGGCTGCTTTGCGACGCTTGCTCACCCAAAATGTTCGCTAAATGTTTGGATCGCTTCCCTTTGCCCGTCCGACGCACAGAGAGTCCACGCTGACGGGCGGGGTCATCGGGGTCAGCATGGCATATCGACAACAGAGCAGCCTCCGACAAGGGTTTCGCTGTAAGCAGCATCAGTCAGATTGTCCAGAGGAACTATGATATGTGCACCGACCTGTCTCATCGTCCTGGCGGCCCCAGTCAAGGAACACACCCCACCCATCGAGGACCAAGCCGCCATCCTCCGACTCCACGTGATCCATAATACTGTCACCCTCTTTCCTAGGGCCAAGCTTCCCGAACTTCTTGAGGGCCTTCTCGAGGACTTCCACTCCCCCTGCGCAATCGGATACATCTACGGTACGAGCATAGTTCCCGTCCGCAATGTTGAACTTCACCAGTTTCCTCCTCAGATCATCTAATGAGGGTGCAGCAGTATGGGACGGGGTATGCGGCCGGTTGAAAGGGCCCCGCCCGACAGTGAAGGGCGCAGTAGGTGGCGACGGCGTGCTTGACGACGTCGAGCTGACATGAGATACGAAAGACTCCGCGATGGGTGAAAGATTATGTGCAAGCTGCGAAGCCGGAAGTGGAAGTGCTTGACCTTGGGAAGACGCGTAAGGATGAGTACCGCTTCCGGATGACCGTGAAGAAGATGCATTCCCCCCGCTACCAGTAACAGACGAGTTCCTCCCATGACCAGGGTTAGGAGAGCGACTCTGGCTACGGCTAGAAGCATTAGGCGGCGGTAAAGGAGACGTAGACCTCGTCGGGGTCTTGCCACCCAAATTGCCTGGCCGTGGGTCGGATGGTAAGCCGTAGCTGCCTCCGCCACCCCATCCAGATGACTGAGATGCCGCGGTAGCAGGAGTTAACAAGCTCTGATTTTGCGGTGCAGGTGGGAGAGGTTGATTCACATAGGAGGGAACATCACTCTGCTGCGTGGGGGTCTTACGTCCAGGAAGGCTACGAGGATTGGCACGGCCGGGTGGTGGAGGCAACGGGGGTTGGCCACGCGGCGCAGGAGGAAGGGGAGGCATGTTTGGACGCGAAGATGAAAGGGGGGCATTACCGGTGCCCGACGTGGTGGTCGCAGCACCAGAGTCACCAGGGCGGGGAAGAGGTCTGAGTGGTGCAGTTGACTTGGCTGAATCCGGTGGTGGTTGTGGGTCACGGATTATCTGAGGCAGATCCTTACGGACGGAATTTGCGGGTAATTGCAGGGGGGCAGGCCGACCGGCCTCGAGCCGCCTTGTCGCCAAGCGAGAAGTAGGAGATATAGAATCATTTCTGGAATGCCCGGTGCCGTCCATGCCATTGAGAGAGTTGCTGCGAGATAGCTGAGTGCCTTGAGGATGGGAGACGAACAAGGAGGACCGCGAGGAGGACTTCTGTCTCAGTGACTTCACTGCATTGAGAATTCTCAGGCGGTCCCCTATGCTCGATACACCCATCTCCTTCAGAGTCGATTGATCCAGTTCCAGCAAAACGTCTCCCCGAATATCATTATCCCTGAATGTGGAGGCATGGCGCTCACATTTGATGTCGGCCAACCAACGTGCGACGTGCGCATCGGACCATTGGCGGATGAATTCTGAGAATGGGGTTCCTGGAGGGGGTTCAAGCGAAGGACCGTTACTAGATGACGATGGCGTCCCTGGTCGAGACGAATTCTGAACTGAACGCGCATTGTTGATGGCAGACCCGTTTGCATAGCTGTGATATGACGCGGTTGGGGATGTCGGAGAAGAAGAGGCGGACCGGGAGGAGCCTTCGAAGGAATTCATGTGGCCTATATTGGCCGTCATCATCGCACTGAAGGTACTGTAATGAGTGGCCATGCTCAACTTTGGCCAGCAATGGCGGCTAAGCGCACCTGTTTGGGAGCAGAAGCTCGCTGACGATGGCGCTTCACACCGGCTGAAAGCGAGGTATAACCAAGAACAGGGATATCGTTAGGTCGTCTGATGGGGTATAGCAAAGAAAATGAGGGATATCCTGCCCCCAGGTTTAAGGAGAAAGTTGGCGAATGGGCGTCCGGTCCTGGCGATATCAAACGGGGAAACAACTGGTCCGTCCCGACGGCTTGCACAATAAGGATCTTACAAGTGAGCGAAAGTCGAGGTAGTGAAAAAACCCAAAAGCCAAAAGTCTGCCAGATTATTACGCCCAGGGACGGCCGAGTCGACGTCGAATAATAACCTGGGTCTCAGCGTGAATACGTATACAACAAGTCCCTTATGCCATCGAGCGCGTCCGGGCGTTATGAGGCGTGGGTAAAACATGCCAAACAGGTGCCCTCTCGACCAAATATGGTCCCTGCCACTCTGCGGTGGCTGATGCTCCTCTCAGTCGAAAGGTATGCTTGACAAGGTGAGGGACTGCTATCGCCAGAGACATTTCATGTTAAATCCCGAAGGCTTTGCTGTGGTCAACTCTTCTAACGACGATTCCTCTACTACTCCTGCAAGCTAACCTCGGAGACGTCAGCAAGGATGCCGAAGGGCGTCGCATCTCTCATCACTGATGTACGCCTCAAGAACCCTCCATGGGCAGCTACGTCTGATATCGAAGGGCGAACGCCAGTTATCAACGATATACCAGTCATCCTTATCAAGGGACAACTTTGTGAGGAGTTTGTCGCATTGCTGACCCGGGTTTTGGGACTGTATGTGAGGCGATGTCACAAGCGACTTCAAGCGAGGGCCTTCTCTGGCCCTGGACCTTCTCTCTCCAAGCACGCACGCCCTTCGATTCCAAGTGAGAGCGCGCTTTTCAGGATCGCAGTCCTTTGAGCGCCGACCGTAGCATTTGGTCAGGCGTCGATCCCGAGAGCAGACTGATTACCAAAGCACCAATGTATCATGCAAACGCGGCACTTGACAGTGGCAGGCGCTGCCTCTTGAGCGGCAGGTGTACTTAGATCCCAACATGACCTCAAGTTACCATCCGATATGCTCAACTTTGGAGCAGAAACAGGCAGAACGTTGCCTTTATAGTGCCAAGGGCCCGAGTTGCCAGCGAGGGTTCGGCATTCGTTCGTCTCCAGACGGCTTGCTTATCCGCCGTTCTCGGGATAGGTTGCTCTCATTGACATCCCAGTGAAATGATAGACCAAGCATAATTCTCTGCATCACAGAAATGTAGCACTTGCCAGTAGAAGAGCAGATGTCTTCCCTGAGCTGCTGCCTGATAACGAGATGAATATGTTTTTCCAAGAAACATAAGTGCGGGGAGCGGCAGGGCGGCCAAAAAGAGTGATGACCGTCGTGGGAGTGGTTTGTGCCTTGAAAACAATTCCCACGGAGGCAGGCCGGGAATGTCGAACGAATAAAGCGAGGCAAGTCCCCCTTTGCCGTCTCCCCTCTGCACGTCGTCTTGCTCAGCGACCCTCCCACTTCCTTCCGTGATTCTCTTGTATTTCCTCAAGGTCTGGCTGGCGCATATCCTCCTCTCATTTGCATCTTTCCCGGCGGCGGATACTCCCGCACGCTGGCAATACCTGGCTCAAACCCTACCTTCCTTTGCACGACGACGCTACTCTAGAATGCGGTTTAGTACCGCGCTTGTTTTCCTTCTCTCGTTTGCTACATTAGCAAGCGCTTCGCCATACCGGGATGACCTCGTTGACTACAACCTCAATGTCAACAAAAATGCACAGTCCCCGACCGAGTACACCACCTCGCGGACTAATACTACCTATACTCCGTCCCCCACCAATTGGCGGGAGATCCCCTTCTACACTATCCTAATGGACAAATTCGCCGATGGCGATCCTGCTAATAATGACTACTTCGAGACAATGTTCGAGGTTGACTGGAGAGAGACGCAATTACGGTTCGGTGGTGATCTGAAGGGTCTGGTATCGAAGTTGGACTATCTGTACGGAATGGGCATTCGGGGTATCTTCATCTCAGGTACCCCGTTCCTAAACATGATTTGGCAAGCCGACAGTGGGTCTATCGCTCGGTTGCTAGGTATTCTGTATCCTCACCCTTTACAGGTTACTCCCCGTTGGACTTCACGGTTTTGGATCCTCATTGGGGTACCATCGATGATTGGGTCACTACCATTGACGAGATTCATGCGCGTGGGATGTACATTATGGCAGATTTTACGGTTGGCACTATGGGTGATCTTGTTGGTTTTGACGGGTGAGTGGATACGCACGCTCACACCATTTGGTTCTCAATCGCTCGCAGCTATCTCAACACCTCGACGCCTTTCGACTTAAACGAACACCCTGCTGTTTGGAAGCACCCGCTGTACACCCCGTGGAACTTCTCTGAGTACAAGGATTTCGCCATTGACAACACCCGGAACACGTCCTGCAAACTTCCCACCTTCTGGCAAGATGACGGTACTGTAGTCGATGTCTCCGCGAACGGATGCTTGAACTCGGAATTTGATCAATATGGTGACATGGAGGCTTTCGGTGTGCATCCCGATTGGCAGCGTCAGTTGGCCAAGTTCGCTTCCGTGCAGGATCGTTTGAGGGAGTGGAGGCCGGAGGTGATGGAGAAGCTGAAAGTCTTCTCCTGCCTGGCAATAACTGCCCTTGACATCGACGCTATCCGTGTCGACAAATCTACTCAAGTGACGGTCGATGCTTTGGCTGAATGGGCCAGTAGTACCCGCGCATGTGCTGCCAAGTTGAAGAAGAACAATTTCTACATCACCGGTGAGGTTACTGGTGGCGACACTTTCGGAGCCTTGTACATGTGAGTATTACTGTGTTACTTCTCGCATCGCTGCTCACTGTCATCTGCAGAGGTCGTGGACGGACACCTACCATGTTACCTCCTGGATTCCTGGCGGCCGCGGACCTGAAGAGTGAAGACAATCAATACTTCCTCCGAGATGCTCCACTCAATGGCCTGGACGGTGTCGCTTTTCATTACTCATTCTACCGGTCGCTGGAGCGTTTCCTGGGTCTGGACGGCAATCTGCAGGTCGCTTTCGACGTCGATACGAACTTCGTCACCGCCTGGAACCAGATGTTCGTCAACGACGATTTCATCAACTCTCAGACCGGCTACGTTGATCCACGGCACATGTTTGGTACGAGCAACTTCGACGTATTCCGGTGGCCTGGGCTCGAGAATGGGACTCAGAAGAGTGCTCTCGGTACCTTCTTGGCATCTATGGTGATGCCGGGTATACCGCTCCTGTACTATGGCGAAGAACAGAACATGTACATTTACGACACATCCGCGTCCAACTACCTTTACGGTCGTCAAGCCATGATGAGTAACAAAGCATGGCAGCGCCATGGATGTTACGCCCTGGGTTCTGACCAGTTCTTCAACTTCCCTCTCGAGAGAACCCTCATGGGATGTAAGGACGATTGGAATTCACTCGATCATTTCGACCCCACCGCGGACAGCCGACGCGTCTTCTCGCAGTTCCTGTACCTTCGCACGGTCTATAGCGCTCTGCAGGACGGTTTCAACCTCGTACAGCGTGGAAATTGGACGTACTTTATCGGACTCCCCGGCTCAAACGGGACGTTGACGGAGAAAGGCCTGTGGTCCGTGTCGCGTTCTGGCATCCCGAATGTGCAGAACTTGACTGGACAGCACACCGACCAAGTCTGGATGTTGTATACCAACGAGAATACCACCAAAACCTGGTCATACGACTGTACAAGCGATAAGTGGATCTCCTCTCCCTATCAGGGTGGCACGACCGTCAGGAACTTGTTTGCGCCTTATGAGACGTACACCCTCCAGGATTCCTTGTCTTCGTACTACAACGACAGTAAGGCGCCATACTATGGCTGTCTGCAGTCCGTCCAGATGGATCCTTTCGGCTTCAAAGCTCTAGTCCCTGCGACAGAATGGGTTGCGCCTCCGCCTGCGCTCACGAAGTTCGTGCCTGGGCATGACGCGCGCAAACAGGTAGAGGCAGGTGATGCTAATGCTACCACAGTCGACATTCGGTTCGAGTTCAATGTCGAGATGAATTGTGACAGCGTCACCGCAGCCCTATCTTTCAATATGTCTTCGTCAGGGAAGGGAGGAAATCCGACCTTCGATAAAAATAATGTGAAGTGCGACGATATTCAGGACCGCGAAATATCCAAGATCCCCGGTGCTGACACTTCTGCCTGGTATTGGTCTACGACGTTGACCAACGTTCCTGACGGTATCTTGACGATCACTCTCAACAATCCATCCACAAAGGATGGAACGGCATCGACCAACGTACGTCCCGTCTTCTAATACATCTTGATGTGTACTAATTGATCGTTTCAGGCCATTGACCACCTCTTGCTTCGCAAGGGCTCATCCAAGAATGTCATGGTCTTCCCAGAATCGGACTACGACAGTTCCTCGTTCTCCTTTGTGGATGGGAAGTATAACTTCTCACACAAGGCGTATGGTGCAGATATGTTCCGGTACTCCTGGAACTTCGGGCAGAATTGGACGAAGTGGCAAAACTGGGAGGATGTAACGCTGATTGACAAGGACTTATTTGACAACGACGAGAACTGGTGGCAGGGCCAACACATCATGGTGCAGTGTGAGTACAGTTCAAAGGTCGTCAGAAACATTCCAAGCATTGACATGTCATTCGATCAGACTGGAGCAACGCCGTTACGTCTTCCGCTCAGGTGGTTCATGCGGATCTCAACTACCCCAAACCGCGTCGTTATCCTCAATTCCTTGCCCGCGGCCCTTTCAACAGCTGGGGCTACGATAAAGGTATCGAGGCCGTCATGACGCACAGCGACGACGGAAAATGGGAACTGGAGATCATGGCCACGTGGCCTACGTACTTGCAGCTCAATATCTTTGGGTATGACAACTACTACTACGGCGACGTGGACGGCGATGGAGTTCTGGATCGCCTGCCTCCGAATACCGCAGCCCCCAATTATCTTAACTTGTCGGCCCCTCCTCACCCGCATCTGGCATGGAATCTTGTTGTCGACGACTCGACTCTTACATGGACTCTGGAGCCGCGGGGGCACTCCGCGGTAGGCGCGATCATGTATGCTCTGCTGTTATCGATTCCTCTCTTCACCGCTTCCCTGGCCGTTGCCGTATTCATGTGGTCCTTCTATGGGATCAGGTACAACAAGTGGGGTGTCAAACCTAACAAGGATCACAGCAACTATTTCCCTATCATCGGCTCTCTTGGCAACAAATCGGCTTCGGACCTGAAGGAAGCAGCGACGCCCATGTCGGAGAAAATGTTCGGCCACAAGCATCCGGAACAGATTATTGGGTGGCCTGAGGATAAGAACAAACGGCGCAAGGTTTTGATTGCGACTCTGGAGTACGAGATCATCGATTGGAAGCTGAAAGTCAAGATCGGTGGTTTGGGTGTCATGTCGTCTCTCATGGGCAAAGCAATGACGGACGTCGACCTTATTTGGGTTGTACCGAAGGTGAAGGATATCGAGTATCCCCCTGGAGATCCTGCCGAGCCCATCGAGGTTATCATCTTCGGAGAGCCGTACCTTATCGAGGTCGAAACCCACTGCCTCGATAACATAACTTACGTGCTGCTCGACAGCCCCGTCTTCCGAGCCCAGACAAAAGCGGACCCTTACCCTGCTCGCATGGACGATCTCAGCTCAGCCATCTTTTACTCCACTTGGAATCAAGCCATAGCTGCGACCGTGCGACGGTACCCAGACATTGATATTTACCACATCAATGACTACCACGGAGCACTCGCACCTATCTATCTCCTGCCGAAAGTACTGCCTGTCTGCTTGTCCCTCCACAATGCCGAATTCCAAGGTCTCTGGCCTCTGCGGACCAAGGAGGAGATGAAGGAAGTTTGTTCGGCTTTCAATATCAGCAAGGAGCACTGCACCAAATATGTTCAGTTCGGCAACACTTTCAACTTACTGCACGCTGCGGCATCATTCATCAGCGTGCACCAGAAGAGTGTTGGTGTTGCTGGTGTGTCGGATAAATACGGGAAACGTAGTTGGGCCCGTTATCCCGCCTTGTGGACTCTCAAACACGTGGATTCCCTTCCTAATCCTGACCCCACTGATATCGCTGCTTTAGATGAAAATCCGACTTCATTACGTGATATTCAGATTGACCAAGAAGCGGAAGCGCAGCGTCCGGAGCACAAGCGTCAGGCTCAAGAATGGGCTGGCATCAAGCAGGATCCCAATGCCGCTCTCTTTGTGTTTGTCGGTCGCTGGTCAAAGCAAAAGGGTGTAGACATTATCGCAGATGTTATGCCGTCCCTGCTGGAGAAGCGACCGCAGATTCAACTCATCTGTGTCGGACCTGTCATCGACTTGTACGGACGGTTTGCCGCAGAGAAACTCAACCGTCTCATGGAACTTTACCCTGATCGCGTATTTTCGAAGCCGGAATTCACTGCTCTTCCTCCATTCTTGTTCAGTGGAGCTGATTTCGCTCTGATTCCCTCTCGTGATGAGCCCTTTGGTCTAGTAGCAGTCGAGTTCGGTCGGAAAGGTGCTCTTGGAGTCGGTAGTCGCCTTGGTGGGCTGGGACTGATGCCTGGTTGGTGGTTCCCTGTCGAATCAACGTCAACGCAACATATGCAGTCTCAGCTGAAGAAGACAATCAAGATGGCCCTCAAGTCCACAGAGGAAGAACGTGCCATTCTCCGCGCCCGTTCCGCAGTACAGCGTTTCCCTGTCGTGGAATGGAGACAGCGTATGGAGGACTTCCACCGGCGCAGCATCACGATCAGTCGCAACCACGCAGGTCCTAACGCATGGCGTCCGTCGGACGGAGATAGCGGTCGCCACCAGCCTATAGGCGAGGCTGAGGATTGGAATCCTGAGTATCAACCTTACCCATCCCAACCAGAGTGGGATGCTAGAAGCGGAAGCTTCAGGATGAGCGCTGCGAGCACGCCAGGCTCGCCAGGTCAATGGAGTCAGGATCCGTTCACGCCCGGAGCCGAGCACCATCTGGCTGCACCTCCTCGTCTCATGCCCGATAGTCGTAGAGGGTCATTCAGTACGGATGTGTCTGACAATGAAGGTGACTACTTCTCCCAGCCGGGCGGTAGTGGTGACACTCCTCAGGTAGAATATTCGAAATTCCTTGACAAAGCCAACCGGACAATAGCTAAGGACCAGCGACATGTTCCTGACCCATTCTTGGATACTGCTCCTCCGACGCGGCCTTTCGGTGCCCACTCAAGAGTGTCATCTGTCGAGTCTATCGCGTCCATTGTCGACGAGAAGCAGAATTCACCACTAAACAAGGCCATCGCCTCGTTCACGGATGCTGATGGTGGAGTGGCCCACGAATTTGTGGAGAAACTACGAAACCTGAACCCAGAGAACTCTCAGCACGAGTTATCCATCGAGAAGTTCCTAATGAAGAGCGAGGAGGCATTCTTCGATAAGGTCCGGAAGGATAAGTTGTCCACGGCCGCCAGTATCCGATCGTCGAAGAGAGAGTCCGTCTGGGGCACACCTTCAATATACGACACTGGCAGTTCACGCCCCTCCTCCCCGAATGGGCTGAGCTCCGCAAGCGGGTTCACTGACTACAATGGTCCTCTTACAAGTGAACTCCCCGAAGTTGTGACGATGACGGGACTGCAGATCGCAATGCAGAGAGAAATCGGCGGATGGCCTTTGTATACCATCATCATCGCTGCGGGACAGATGCTGAGCGCCACCAGCTTCCAGATTACCTTGCTATCCGGTCAAAATTGGCAAGACAACTTGCAGCTTTATGTGTTGGGCGCCGTGTTCTTAGCCGCGTCCTTCGTGTGGTATGCTCTCTTCCGGTTGAAGCCATCGGTCTATGTGTTGGCTGCTCCCTGGATCTTCTTTGGACTCGCTTTCTTCCTCATCGGTCTGCCGTCCGTGACTTCTGCCCTACATCCCACGCACAAAGCTTTGTCAAGCGCCGCTACATGGTGTTACGCTGTTGCGTCTGCAGCGGCGTTCTGCTTCTTTGGTCTCAATTTCGGTGAAGAAGCTGTGAGTACCGTGATAAAATGCAGATCTCTGTTATTAACGATATACTTTAAAGGGTGCTGCCACTGAAGTTTGGACGATGAGAGCTTGCATCGTACAAGGGTCGCAACAAATCTGGGTCGCCGCGTTATGGTACTGGGGTAACTCCCTCGAGGGTGCCCAGACGGATAGTATACCACCATGGTGGATAGTCCTCATTGTCTGGCCCTTGGCTGCCTTGAGCCTTCTTTTCACGTACCTTATGTTGTACGGTCTACCCGGTAAGTCTCCGTTTGCGATATGGTTGTTCGATGGGTTTTGAGCTTGCCGCAGAGTACTATCGTCAGACACCACCGAAGGTACCCAACTTCCTAAAGACACTTTTCCGCCGGAAGCTCGTGCTATGGTATGAATCTCCTTTTGCGTTGTTTTCGACATCCTGTCCTAATTGCTACTCAGGTTTTTGGCCTCGGAAATCTTACGCGACTATTGGCTCAGTGGTCCCTACGGCCGCAATTGGGGCTTCCTATGGAGCGGCAATATACCGAAGTGGCAAATCGCCCTCTTAGTCGTTGCTTTCTTTGTCGTTGTGTGGGCAATCTTGATGTACATCCTGACGCAGTTCAGTAAGATCCATACGTGGTTGTTACCTGTGTTTGCTGTGGGATTGGGTGCGCCTCGATGGTGTCAGGTAAGTCCCGTCATTAAGTACGTCAATCTGGTGCTCAATATCTATCTCGTGTAGATGCTTTGGGGAACATCTTCCCTAGCCTTATATATTCCTTGGGCAGGCCACGCGGGTCCATATCTGGGTGTTTCTCTGTGGTTATGGCTGGGCGTTCTTGACGCTATCCAAGGCGTGGGACTGGGTATGATTCTACTGCAGGTTCGTGGACATCGCCCTTCCAACTTCTGGAGTATCGCTGACGGCCTTGCCATCAGACCTTGTCGCGTCTCCACGTTTGTGCCACGCTTGCATTCTCGCAGATAATAGGGTCTATATGTGTCATGGTCGCTCGGGCTACTGCTCCTAACAAGATCGGACCGGAAAGCGTCTTCCCTGACGCTGCCACATGGGACTTCGAGCAAGGTCTAAAGGGTAGGTACCTGAACTGTTGACTGCAGGTTCTGTGCTGATTTCCCTCGCTTCTATCAGGGAGCCCCATGGCATCGCCCACGTTCTGGGTGGCATTGGTATGCCAGCTCATCATCGTCATAGGCTACTTCTGGTTCTACCGGAAGGAGCAATTGGCCCGACCATGATCGCGTTTTCCACCATGACATGACAATCTAGACTAGAATTAACGGACCGGGATTATCTGCACGTTGTTGCATTTTCTACCATGTTGCATCACGGGGCTCTTGCGGACTTTGTTTAGAACGGACGCTGTATTTGTCTCGATAATATTACACGCTCGCTACGTACACTGGTATAGCATTGCATTATAATAATGGCATACTCTTTTTGGGGCTAGCTAGTATCCACCCATTACCGTCATACCTCCTGCTCGCGTAGATACCTGGACTGGAATAAAATCGAACAATCTTTGTACTCCTTCGTATTACTGAGGTTTCTGCATTTTGAAGTCATCAACGTAGCGACCGTACATGCTCAGGAGTGTGCCGAGCTTGGGGTGGACTTCGACGGTGTATTCTTCGAACGGGTAGGCCTCGCCGTCGATGGATAGACAGCCTTTCTTTGAGCGAGGAGTCAACCTGTAGGCGTGCGCCTTGAAGTAGTGTTGCTGAGACAGACACCGACGCGTCAATACCTAGGCACCGCGACAATATGATGCGGACACGCACGGTAGGAAGCCAGAATGGCCCGCCTTTCTCTGCGCCGTCCAAGGCTTTGAGCATATCCCCCCTCGATGTCTAGGTGCATCAAGATGGATCATACATAGAGAAGCAGGGTGGATGCGGCGTACCAGCTCTTGGGCGACTACGTCGATGAGACCGTCGTCAGGCAAGGAAAGTGGGAATTGCATTAGATCGCTGACGCGGAAGACTGGTCGTCAGCCTGATATGTGGCTGACGCCCACATGGATATCGACTGACCGTCCGACGTAAGGGCCTTGTCCCGCATACACATAGAGCAGCGGTTTATCGAAAGTGACCCAGCCGTCGTCGCCTTTCCCTGGCGAGGTGTGCTGCAACGGCGGCAACGCCCCTTCACTCTCGCTTTCTGCCTCCGGAGGAGGCGGCGCGGCGTCCCTAACTTTCCGGTACGATTCGAGCATCTTGTCCTTGTCGCTCTCGGCGACCTTTACGGATAGTGTGGCGGCGCACGGGCTTAACTTCGCGACTAGGGGGATGTAAGCACTTTTCGCGGCCACGCATCCTGGACCGTGCCCAAGTTGGACTTACTGCCGCGCAGGAAGCCTACGACGAAGCGCGTGTCGCCCATCCAGCGAAGGTGCTCGGTGCCGAGATCAAGGTCGGCCATTAGCCCCACCGCCTGCGAGAAGAAGGACAAGCGGCGGGTGTTGCCCTGCGTAAAGGAGAAGAGGTCGGTCTTCATGGGCCGACCTTTGATGGCGTTCAACGCAGCGGCGCACACGTCGAAGGCGTCCTACGAATTCGTGGTGATCAGAGATATGTCTTGTCAGGGGATATTGACGCATATACCTTGACTCCTAGGAGATTGCAAGATAGGCCGTTGCCCGAGCCGGTGGGTATAGGCGCGATGGGTATATTCAGAGCTTTCAGCGGCTGGGCGTGCTCTGCAAATCCATTTATCACTTCATGAATAAGACCGTCACCCGACACGGTGACAACCGCGTCAAAATCGAGCGACAGGTCTTTGGCGAGGGCTTGCGCATGCTTCGAATGCGTTGTGTCTGAGTAAAGAATGCCGCGTGAGCTGCAGCAAGGACTGGAAGGCGGGAAGAACGTACAGGTAACATCCAGCGTGCAGTGCGCGGCCTTAAGAATTGGCTCGACCTTCTTGCGGAATATGGCTACTGATTTCCCCTGCGACTGGTTAGTGACCATACTACCGAGTGACATCCCCATTTGCTCACCTGGCCACCGTGCGGATTAACCAAGACCTTCAGACGTCTGCGCTGCTTCACACCTCACGAAGTGGCGCTAATGTTGGCGAAACGCGTCACCGCACGGGGTAGATACACTGACATACCTTCATAAGCCTTGGCCGTCAGGGCGTCGATCCATGCGTCTACTGCGGACTTGTCTGCCGGGAATATACGTCCACTGGCTTTGACGAGGCTCAGAGAGCCCTTCTTACTCTTCCGAGCAAGAAAGTGGACATGGAGCGTATCCTGCGCGTGCTCGGCCCATAGCACCTGCTTCAAGGGGACATCCACCGTCTTCTTCGGGTCTGTCCTCACTTTCAGTGCTGCGACGAGGGGGAAAGCGGAGATGCACACCACGGCTTATGAGCAGACTAGAGTCCGTCAGCTTGAACGTCGAAACCTTTCCCGAACCATTCACGACGCGCAGCTCATTAGACGTGGCCATTAGACTCGAATACGCTGTCAGTCGCGCAGCTCGAAGCGCGACCTGATCGACGCCCACGCGAGACTGGTCTAAGAATAGCGACGAGGTCAGGCAGCTATTCTGAGCCACAGTTGACGGTTATCGCGGGCCATGAAGCCATTACTAGTCCGAGTCAGATTCTGCCGAGGGCATTCCACCCTCGGCCATGCTCGCGCAATCGCGCCATATCATCCTGCACTTGCACCCAGCACTTGTAACGTCGCCTGCAAGGGTCCCCAAATTCCGTACATTCTTCGCCACCACCAGGACAGCCATGCCGACCGTACACGATGTGGCCAAGCAGGGTTTTGGCACTGACAATGAGCTCTACGATCGGTCAGTTAGAAAGCCTGCTAGGTTGAGGCCCTGATCATATGGAGACACACAGCGCTCGGCCTTCGTACCAGCCGGAGGCGCTCTCCTACATCCGCCAGGCAGTCCAGGCATCGCCCGTGAACGTCGTCGAGTACGTTCACCATTCTTCCTCCATGGATCCTTACTAATCATCCGCGCAGACTGGGCAGCGGTACAGGTATATTCACGCGCGCCCTCCTGGCCCACCCCGAGTGGTCCGCATCCCTCGGCCGCTTGCGCGCCATCGAGCCGAGCGAGGGTATGCGCGACGTATTCACCAAGACGGTGAAAGACGAGCGCGTCACCACCAGCTACGGCACCTTCGACACTACCGGTGTCGAGGACGGCTGGGCCGACATTGTGATTGTAGCGCAGGTCAGCTGTGATCCAGACGTCGCGTCTCGTACTACTCACGTTTATCCGGGAAACATAGGCATTCCACTGGTGCCCTGACTACAACGCAGCTGCGGCCGAGTTTGCTCGCATCCTCAAACCTGCCGGTGTTGTCGCCCTCATCTGGAATCTAGAAGACAGGTACGTTCCCTCCTGCCTTGTCCCTGTACCGACACTCATGGTCTCCCAGAGACAAAGCCCGCTGGGTCGCCCAACTCCGGGACCGCGTAGAGTTGCACGAGAAGGGGACGCCCCAGTTCCGCCTGGGTCTCTGGCGCGAGACCTTCTCTACCCCCAACTACAACGCCCTCTTCGAGCCGCCCATCGAGAAGACGTGGGACCGTGCCCTCCCTGGGACAGTCGAGATTGCCGTGGAACGGGCGTGTAGCAAGAGCTACATCGTTGTGCTCCCTGAGGACGAGAAGAAGAAGGTCGCGCAGGATGTGACAAACATCGTGAAGAATGGAGACGATATGATTTGGATTGATAAAGAAAAAGGTGTGTTTGAGTATCCGTACAGAACGTACGTCGTACTCTGGAGGAAGAAGTAGATGCTACACAACATGTATTACTTACAGCGGACTATAGTAAGGTGTTTGGTTACCTTATTAGTGTCGGAGGAGACCACCCTAACCATTGAACGGTGCTCCTCAGACCCAGCGTGGATCAGATTGATACTCCATACTGGTGTATGCGAGCACGCCGCGTGACCAGATCATCAGTTCATAAAGACATAGAAGAAAACAACCAGCCTGCTCTACTCGTCCGTATCCTCCCCCCGCTTACTCGCCATCTCGAGGTTCCTGGCTCTGGCCATCATATCCTTCACCTTCCACCATTCCATCTCGATGACCTGTCGCTGGTCGAGCCATTCCATGATCTGGTCCGCATCGTCCAAGTCCTCTGGTGGTTTCACACCTCCCGCTCCGGAAAAGGCGACACGAATGAACCCGCGCTTGCCTTTCGAAGCGCGGAGCTCTTCCACCTCGCGAAGGAGGGACTGGTAGGTGGAGTACTTGATGTATGTCAGGACAGCTGCGAGGTTCAAAACGAACAAAAAACCTACCTCCCAATGACTGAACTCATGGAATACCTTTGTTCGCCGAGCGCAGAACCGGCCGAGGTGGAACTCCTTCTGATCCTTCGACTCCTCTTCGTCCTCACTGTCATCCGAATCGGAGTCGGTCAGAGGCTGTAAGTGCACGGTTGAGTCTGAATATAAAGAGGATATAATAACAAATACTTCGAAGCCCAGTCTATCGTACGGCTGACCGCTGACTCTGCCCAAGTAAGTAGACATCCGTCCTCCTAGGTGACACGCGTCGCAAGCGGGTACAGCAAACTCTAGCGAGACCAACTCGAAGTTGGGGTACTTCTCCAGTGGTCCCTTGAACTCCGGACGCCAGACCGAGGATGCCACAAGGGAGTCCCGCATTCCAGTCAATTTCCGCCGGGCAATATGCAGTGGTGCGCTGAAGTACTCAACATCTGTACGACCAGAAAAGTCAAGAACGAAAGCTCCTGCGACTCTGTTATTTATGCGTACCCGCAAGAGCTTTCTGCATGTAGTCCTGCCGCTCCTCGGCGGGTCGCACTGCTACGTGGACGAAGAGCTGGCATATGATCTTGAAGTGGTGGGCTAGATCCTGATAAGTGTTCATACTGAAGGCTGAGGGCAGCTCAGCAGCCACGGTTTGGCTATCATCTTCCACCACAAAACTATCGTCCACGTCCTCTTCGGCCGCTTCGTCATCTGATGACCCTTCCTTATTACTCGGCCTGGCACCCTCGAAAGGAACTTCATCCCAGACATTCTCCTCCGTACTCTCTGAGCTTCCTGGGCTCTCAGCAGAGAGTCCCCGTTTCAGACCTACAAATATATTCATATCGTCAGACAACTTAATATACTTTCTGCCCAAAGAGCCCAAGGCCCACGCACGTTTAAGCTTCTCCAGGTTAATCTGGAAAGCAGACTTCTTCCCTCTTGACCGGAACCGATCTTCCAAGATCGCTTTTATGGTCGTCTAGCTTAGAAGCATATTATATTATAGAGGGAACTCACTGTCAGTATCAAGCTCATCCAACAGGTCATCTTCGTCTTCATCGTCTGAAGGCGTCACAGGTCTACGCCCTTTGACGAGCCTGCGCCTTTTTACTTGCACTTCCGGCTCGTCCTCATCTGTACGCTCTTCTTCTGCCTGGCTAGTAGGAGTGACCTTACTTGGTCTCCTGGTCCTGACGTCTCGATCCTTGGCTTCCGCCCCATTCACCGAAGGCTGCTTTCCCCCATTACCATCACCTTCCCTCTGCTTTCCCTGTCCTCTGTGTTTGCTTGCTATATCATTTAGAGCGATAGAGACAGAGTCCTCATCTTCGCTCGAATCGTTGTGACGCAACTTCCGCTTCTTCGCTGGGTGTCGACGGGGAGACTCCTCCGATTCAACATCATCGCTCAAAGCTGCAGCTTCGGGTTCGAACCGTATGCCCCCTACAGCGCTGCTAGAACTGTCGCTCTCTTCTAGATCCACAACCTGTTTTTGTCCCGTCTTCTTCTTGCTAGACGTAGCGGGTTCAGTTACCTTCTTCCGGGGACTTGATTTTGGTGAGAGCTGGGGCGAGCTAGACAGAGCATAGACAAAAAGCGTTGTTTGCTTCAGCTTCTTGGGGGTGGAGGGACCAGGCTTGGCTTGCTTGCGGCGAGGCATGCTCACACAGTCCCAGTTCGACGAAGTCCAAGTCCCGGATGTACGAGACAAGACGACAGAGAGACAGAAAGTGAGCTCGAGCGCTCAGCGCTCAAGTCCTAATAGCGCGACGCGCCTGTGGCGCAGAATCGAGCGCATAATCAAACCTGCGCAAATCAGGATGAGATACTGTAGATGATCGATACATCTCGCTATGGACACGTCGTACTTAGACTACAAATGAAACCAACAAATCCGTCAGAAAGGAGGAAGGGCTAGTGCTACACTTGGGCTATACAGATCTGCGAGACTGCGAGAGATAATATGCATGCACGAGAGGATTCAGAGGGCGGGAAAGACGCTCAGATTGCTTGCTAATGGTTAGACCAGAATGTCATAGCACGGAACAAACGGTACTCACCGATAACCATTCCCTGTTCAACCGCAATGATTTCTGCACCCAACTTGTCCCGTTCCACCAACGTCCTCACCTGATCAGCGATCTCGAGGTGTACGGGTCGAGCGAGGTCGAAATCGGCCTTACAGTGGGTGATGTAGATCCGTACTCCGTCGAGAGCATGTTGCAAGACACCTGGGGCTTTTGACGTGTTTGAAACTACCCTTTGCCGCTTCCGCGCCGGTGGACAGTCTGACTCGGAGTCAGCAAGCGCGTCTTCCGACTCTTCGTCACTGAGACGCTCTCGCGGTCTCGGGCGAACTTTGACCACCTCGGTAGCAAGCACAGTGAGCTCAGCCAAGAGATGTTGTGGGTTGAGGTGCCCATATAAAGTCTCGTCGGGTCTAGTAGATGGCCAGGAACACTCTATAAAGATTGCGTTCAGCGAGTGCCCAACTTTCTTTGCTGCCCTTTGCCAAACTTCTACATTGCGACTGTTCCGGGACAGGCTGTCAGGTTCCACGTCGCCGAAGAAAAGAAACTCTCGGTCTTTGCTGTCGTGCCGGATGAAAAATGCGACCGACTCATAGATGACCCCGCCTTGCTCATCCATGCCATGACTCACGGGCATCATCATTACAGAGATGTCCTTCGAGATTGGCATATACTTCTTGTCAGGTTGTAGACTGCAAGAGATAGGTCAGACACACGAAGAGGGGGCATGCCAAACAATTATTACACACCTTTGATATAGAAGCCTAGAGGACTCCTCTTGTTCGTCCCACGACGCAAGATTAGGCCAGACGCGTCCGTTGAAGACCACTTCAATATCTCTGAGCGTCTGCAAAGACCCGTATACTCGCTTTCGACAACCTCCCACGGAACCTGCTGACATGACTAAACTTGAAATGTGGTCAAGGTGAGCGTGGGTGATCAAAAAACATCTACAACCACGACACGGCTTAGCAGAAAGTATACCATAAAATCGCGAGACTGACTTGATCATGGAATAAATATCGCGAGCGGAATAATGCCGCCTGTCATCCTCCTCTTGTGTAACGTGCTGGTCCGGAGATTGATAGCTGAAGATTTCTGGATGCTTCCTCATAATCCGGGCCAAGGCACCCATGCCGGAACCTAGGGACCATACGTCTGAGCTCTGTTGATGTGGATGCGGACTCAGGCTCTAGCAGGACGCACCTGCTTCCAACGCGATAATCCCAGCTTCCCAGGACGCTTCACGTGGTTTAAGTAGATACCTGGGGCGGAGATCATAAGGTGAGGTTTGGGACGCGCAGACAAGTAACTCACCCGGATAAGTTAGTCTCGTCTGGGCCCCCTCCCGAACCCAAAACGACCAAGTCAAAAGCACACATCTATGCCTCTGACCTGCTTCCGACCTCCCAGACGAAGTCTACCCCCCGCAGAATAAGTTAGATGTCGCGTTCAGCAATCGTCAGACGCGACTAGAGGTGGGTGGCATCCGAGGAAAAAAGAGTCGGTTCGGTGAGAAGACGTATATCCAGAATATATCCGCACGTAGTAGATCAGACATCCCAGAGGGAAGCACAGTTATGGCAGTGCCGGATAATGACCCTCAGAGGGACGCGAGATCACATTGTCTTCGTGACTCGACAATGACATGGGATCAGTTAGGCACAATGGAAATAGACAGCTGTGGGCAATGGCCTTTGTGTAATTTCTTGAGTGGGAACATGTACATGAGAAGACATTGACAACACACAGTCGGGAGACGATCTCTTAGTCGTTGGGTCTTTGCATCATTAGCGAACATGTAGAGAATAGCTAAGAGAGTACGATGGATATATGAATGAAGGAGGGTAATCGGATAAAGGAGTCTTCCGCACGTGGACAAAGCATAAGAATACAAGATGAATAATGGAATCAACTTAGGGTGAGCCCAATAAACTATTCAATGCCTTCTGGACATCATATCCATGTTCTTCCAGTGCTGCTACCGCTTGGGTACGACTGAAACCCATCCCGCACAGTTGCTTGACGGCTTCGACGTCGTCATCCACGGCGGGGGTATTCCCCTCGGGTTCCTCAAGCGGAGTGAGCCCAGGCGCTTGTGAGAGGTGTGACGGCAAAGGAGGAGCAGCGTCGTGTTTCGCTTTCTTCTTCCCGAAGGGTAAGCGTATCTACAGAGTTATGTGGTTAACATTGCACCGTCCGAGATGAGACCACCCTCAAATGCGACTTACACTAAGACGAGAGTGCCTGACGGGTCCATCTTTATGCTTCTCGTGAGAGTCCTTACTGGAGCCAGCGGTTGACGGACGAGGTTTCGGTGAAGCGTGCCGTATGGGTGGGGACATAGAGCGAGGGGGAGGTGAGGCAGTATTTCTGTCGACACTGGGACCAGGCGACGAGCTTCGCAGAGGCGAGGTAGGTGGCGAAGAGGAGGAGAATGCGGTTTTGCCCTGCTGCGGCTGTGAAGAAGTTGAGCCCCTAGACGATGTGGAGCCGAACGCCTTGTCGAAGGCTAGCGCTTGCTTGCTGTCTACGCCGCCGAACGCATCGTCGAAGGAAATCTGGGGGCCATTGCTGGGGGCCTGGCCACCAGCCGTATTGACAGTCGGCGCGACGTTTGAAGGAGAGCCAAACGCGTCATCAAAGGAGAACGAGGAGGAACCGACTGCAGCCGAAGAAGGCTGAAGAGGTACTGTAGGGGCAGCACTCTGAGACATGAATACTGTGTTGAAATCAGTCTGGGGCGCCGCAGATCCATTCGTTGACGCCTCAGTCGCCTGATGGGTAGTATCTGCAGAGGCTTGCGAGAAATCAAAGTTATCATCGAAGGCCACATCGAAGCTAAACGGCGCAGTCGACCCATTCGTTCCTTTGATCGGAAGTTTCCCCAGTGCTTCGTCGAAGTCACTGATCCCACTAGGCCCGGAAGACACGGGCGGGTGAGAATCAGGAGCAGCCGCGCTCATACCGAAGGCATCCTTGGTCGGCGAGCTAGGGACAGGAGACGCAGCCCTTACAGCTGCGACAGGACTAGGCGTATTTGCTATATATCCGAAGGCGTCGTCAAAACTAGGCGCGGCGGGCTGAGCACCAACCCCATCCGAGACAGGATGAACTGCCCCATGAACAGCTTCTTTGCCTTTATCCATAAGTGACTCACGCCTCTTACTGAGAGGCTCTTCTTCGTCACTACTATCGGAGTCCTCCACTTCGATCTCTTTGAGCTGCGTGTTCATATCCGTTTCGTCAGCATTCGCATCAGAGGATGGCACCTGGCTAACGGGCTCTGCCCCTGCTGCATCCGCCTTATGTTCCAGAGCCGGGATAGGCTGAGATGACAGCGGTAGCGTGGCACTCTGCGGCGGGGTGGTCCAATGTTCTGTCTCAGCAGAGGGCGACAGGAGGTCGTCAGAAGGTGCTGTAGGGGACGCTGAGGCAACAGGGTACGGCTGAATATCAGGGAATCGTGATTCTGGTTGGACGTTTTCTTGACCCTGAGTTTGAGCCTCGCCGGACGGTTCATTCGGCTGCTCCGATTCGAACCCGAAAGGATCCGCAACTGCTGAAGCAGTTGGAGGAGTAGGTACCGACGCATTTGTGAAGGGCAAAAAGGGAGATTGTGGACGAGATCCCCCACCAGAAGAGAGAAGACGATCAAAGGGGTTGTTGCTCTTGCCGGTTGGGCTTGTGATAGGCGTCCCTCCCTCTGGAGATACCGGTAACGGCTGAGTCACCGCCGCCGCAAGGGTATCGTCAGAAAGTATAGATGAAGCTGGCTTTGGAGAGACAGTTCCATCGACAGTCTCTGCCCCAAGTTTGGCTTCAATCTCTTCTCTTTCCTTGACAGCCTGCTCGACTTCCTGTCTGGCTTCCTCTACCTCCTTGTCGACCTTTTCCTTCTCGTGCTCCCGAGTCACCAACTGCTTCTTCGCGATAGCAAGCAAACCTTTTTGTTGTTTAGCCTCTTTCTTCAACTTTTCCAGAAGTGCCTTTGTAGTGTCAGTTTCAACTCCAACTTCATGCATCTTCCTATGGAGCTCCCGCACTTCCTCCTTGTCGCGGAGAAGATTACCTTCTATCTCAACTTTCTCGACACGTAAGGCACTAAGATCGCTTTCCGCACGGATAAGTTGCTCCCTGGTCTTCTGTATTTCTGCGGTCTGAGTAGCATAACGTTCCCGCAAGGACGACAAAAGATTGGTCTCGGTCTCGTAGGCAACCCTGGCGGAAGAGAGCTGGGTCTGCAACGCGGAGAGTTGAGCGGCCTGATCATTCAGTGTTCGCTCTACAGATGTTCTTTCAGATTTTGTGGTCTCAAGGGAACGGTTCGTGGAATTTAGCTGATTCTGGAGATTACCAATCTCGGCAGACTTGTCAGCTAGAGGCGGTGATTTAGCAGGCGCATCATCATCGTCGCTGAGCAGATCCTTGCCAGCTGAGGCTACCGAAGGATCAGCTTCTGAGGTCTCCTTGGGTGTGAGTAAATAGACGCACCGAAAGGATCTGCTCGCGGGACAGTTGGGGCAGGAGACCCGTAAGAAGGGGTAGCAACCGCAGTATGTTGCGGGGACAACGGTCCTGTCCGCTGAGATTGTATAGCTGGAGTCTGCGTCGTAGCGGAGGCAGGAGGTGTATCATCCCATAACAGATCCCGCAAGGGCTCCGCGGCCGGTGGAGATGAAGGTGGAATCGCGAAGGGCGAGGCATTCGTGCGCATTGAAGGCGGAATCAATGACAGCGGAAGAGTGGCTGGGATCTCTTTACCGGCTAACTTTCCTTGGATCAAATGCATGGCTACAGCAAAGCCATCACGAGTAAGTCGGCCGTCATTATTGATATCAGCCAGGTCCCTGAGAACAACAAGGGCGGGGTGAAGTCAATCGCAGCCATGATAGACGCAGCAGAGTATAGGCATGCGATAAACTTACCAAACTTGGGCCAATACATCCTCCGGTAGCTGAGACTGCAGCATAAATGGGACTGCGACGTCTCCCTCAATGTAGCCTTTCCTGTCCGTATCAAGTGTGTCAAAGAATGCATCCGAAGTTGCCTTCTCAGATGCGGTGACGTCCCAAGGAGGCTGAGGCGCTTGACCAGTTCCATGCGATTGGACTGCGGTTCCGAAAGCACTACCTCCCAAAGCGGCAGCCGAGGGACGAGAGGGAAGTGGTGGCCCACCTGTGGACGGCCTGAGCCCCGAGCCTGTCATCTGAGGTCGAATGCCAGTGTCTTGAGTCCTCAGAGGCGTAGGGGCTGCAGAAGGACGTCCAGGGAAGGAGCCTGTTAGACTAGGACTGAAAGAACCGGCGCTTCCACCGGTACTGTGCGTCGCGACACCATCAAGTGGACGGCCCCCTGCTTGCTCATAGAGGCCCGGTGGCAGGGACGTCGGAATAAAGGAGAGTTGGCCTGACATGCAGGCTTGCACTAAGTACATAGCAATGGTGAAATCCGTTGAATCAAGAGCTCCACGGTTCTGGGTATCCGCGAGGGACCTGACGAAGTCACAACCGTAAGCTGGTACAGACGAGCGCATATAGAGGGTTCTGACCATATTTGTGATAGCTTGTCTACGGGTAACTTGGATTTTACAAGAATATCTCTCGCCTTGTCACCTTTAGGTTGGCGCATGCAATGTCAGCCACTTCATACCACTAAGTATTGCAGACTGCGTACCGCTGAGAATACCATTAACTGGGCCTGCGCCAACGAACAACCTCATGAACTTGGCCTTATCTTGAGGCGTCAAGGGAGGTAGCCCGGCGGTAGGGGGCTTTACAGAGCCTCCTGTAGCTTGTGGAACCAGGTCTGATACCCCTTCTATGGTAGGAAGGGGACCAGCTGTGGGCGCATGGGATCAATGCGTCGTTCCTCTAGGACGAGTCGAGGTACGCACGCTTGTATATCAAGTCCTCCCTGACCGTCTCTCCCTTCTGCGCCCAGCCCATAAGTCTGACAGCAATAGCAGCCCCCTTCTTCGATAGCCAACCATTGTTCTCCCTATCAGCTAGGGACCATATTTCGCCTAGAACCGCGGGTGGAAGCTTCGAGCCGCTGAATATGTTGACCGCAATCTCGCCAGTTAATGCGCCGAGTTTCTGCGCATCCGGGTGCGCGAATATCTTCTGCACGAGCGCGAGCTCGGCAGGCGAAGGGGTGAACGTACCGGACATTGCTGCCCTGACGCGAACAAGAAGCAATTGGAGTGAAGCAGGCCAGCAAGTGCGGCAGCGTCGGTAGCAGTGAGCGTATGTCGGTAACGTCACCCGGCGCTGCCGGGCGGCCGGGTCCGGTTGTGGGAACGTCCCTGACACAACACGTGATCTGCCGCTGTGGCGCGCGTCTTCAACCACAGAAAGTTTGGTCTCGTTTACGACACGCTCTTGCATCCGTGCCACGACCTCTGTACATCCCGCTCGCTGTTTGTCGCGCTCTCCTTCCTCGTATAGCATTTTGCACTGTATTTCTACCATGGAACAAATCACGACCTCTCTCGCGCCTCCTCGCAGCACTCACAAAGTAGGCGTCGCCGGCTCTTCCAGCGACGCGTCTGGCTCGGTCACGAAGCGGTGAGCATCTCAGTCGATGTACTTCCCGCTGTAGACTTCTGACACGCTCTTGACGCGTTTCTATAGCTTGAGTAACGAGTTGATGCAGTTAATGGTATGTTGCGATATGGTACCGGCGCGTGTCAGTGCTCATTTTGAGGTCGTAGATGTCATCTTCACCAGGCATCGTACGTGTCTTTTTCTTCATGATTGCTACCAGCTAGACCGTTACGTCGCTGTAGTCGGCATTCCCTAAAAGCGATGCAAATCTATTCGAGTGGGTTGGAACGATCGAGGGACCTAGTGGCACGGTGGGTCTCATGGCTATCGTTGCCTTGTGCACCATTGACTGACTTCCTTTCTCTCAGATTTACGCAGGTCTAACATACAAGATATCCATCACGTTCCCTCCAAACTATCCTTATGCGGCGCCTACCCTCAAATTTGACTCACCCTGCTACCACCCTAATGTGGACTTGAACTCAGGGGCGATTTGTCTGGACATTCTACAGGTAGACTTGCGCGTGCAACTACCTGGACGCATGAGATCTGAGTTGTCCTTTTTTCAGGATAAATGGTCGGCTGTCTACAGTGTTCAAACCATCCTCATCTCCTTGCAGTCTCTACTAGGAGGTATGAACTTTCGACGTTATCGCATCTTCCCAGTTGACATCGTTTTTCAGAGCCCAACAATGCGTCTCCCTTGAACCCTGATGCGGCTGCGCTGTGGGATTCGCCTTCAGGTTCGTGCTGCACAGCTCATGCATTGCCAAGTAAATGAATTCTAAGGGCGCTATACAGAGTACAAAACGTCCCTGATGAAGCACTACACCCCTCCCGGCGACAATTTCGCGTAGTTCCCCATTTCGTCTCCAGTCGTACATAGCTATAGTCCCCAACGGTTATCCATCTTGCTGTAACGCTGTGCAATATAATTATAATGCTACGATGTCGTAGCTGTCGGAAATTCATTGTGCCGTCCTTTGCAGCATGGTGACTAGTGAACTCTGCTGGAAACTCCTGCATTTGACTCCGAAGGCGTTGGCTCTAACTTCGAGGCCTAGGCTCCAGCTGTCATCCGCGGTACAAAGTCTACTTGCAGCTTACCTCCAGCCCTCCTTACAGCCCGTCTCCGATTCTGCTATGGCTAATACAACCGTCCGAGGTGCGCAAGCAATCCATGGACAGAACCCACAGGTGAGCCTGAACCATCCAGGATAACCAGGCAGCATTCCTCCAGTGCTCTAGTATCTAGTCGAAACTGTCATCCGTAACCGTATATATGAGTCTCCCTATTGGAAGGAGCAGTGTTTCGCGTTAACCGGTGAGCCTCTGCAGGTCATGGTGCTAAGAAGTGCTGACCTTGTTCCAGCTGAAACCCTCATTGACAAAGCCATCGATTTGAAATGCATCGGAGGAGTGTATGGGAATCAGAAGCCCACCGCGTTCTTATGTCTCCTGTTGAAGCTGCTGCAAATTCAACCAGAGAAAGAGATATTAATCGAGTACCTTCAAGCGGATGAATTCAAGTGAGTTCTGTGCTATACTATGGTGTGTGGAAGTGTAATCGACATTGTCAGGTATCTGCGCGCTCTAGCCGCGATGTACATTCGCATGACGTTCCGTTCAGTCGAAGTGTATGAGATTTTGGAGCCGCTGCTCAAGGATTACAGGAAACTGCGATATCGGACCAATAGTATGTAAACGGTGCTTTTCACCATCTGTTCCGGCTTGACATTGCCTGCAGCTGGGTACACCCTAACGTACATGGACGAATTTGTCGACAATTTACTAAGAGAGGAGCGAGTATGCGACATCATATTGCCTAGGTTGGCAAAACGGTCTGTGTTAGAGGAGACAGGAGAGATTGGACCGCGCAAGAGCCGCCTTCTCGATGCAATGGAGGGCAAAAGCGACGTCGGCGAAGATCGTAGCCGCAGTCCAAGCAGAAGCAGGAGTCGCAGCAGGAGTCGCAGCAGGAGTCGCAGCAAGAGTACAAGCAGGACACCAAGTCGAAGTCCCTCTAGCAGAAGCAGGAGTCGCTCTAGGACGCCATCGGATGCAGGAGAGCGATATATCTCTCGCAGCCCTTCGAGATCACCTTCTGCTGCAGGATCCAGGGAGGCGTCACCTCAGCGACCCATTCGTTCGCGCTCACGATCTGAATCCCCGTATCGCTCACGCAGCCGTAGTGTCTCTCCAGACCGTATGAACACTGAAATCTCGAACCGGGCTGCTCAATCGTGACAATGATTTTGCAAGCATGATTACAAAACTGTATACTATCTAGGCTTGTCGAAATCCTCTTTCTTAAAGGACAATAGCTGTTGAGACAGCGCTCTCCATCTGTCGTTGACGAGGGGCATCTTCGCGATGGCTTTATCAGAAAGGTAGCCTCTGTTTTGCCACGATGTATACCACTCTATTGAAGGGATGATTAGGATAGTTCATGCATGGCTTCATGCAATATTGATAACATACCTATGTCGGTACGACGAATAGGTGCCGCGTCGAGGCGGTCCGTTCGGCCCTTGACGCAGTCACGAAGAGCCAGAGGGTTGTAATACCTGCAGAACACACTGCCGCCCAACTTCTCCACTGCAGCGATAGCGCTTTTCGAGGCACGGGAGGGAGTGATATGAACGGGGGTTTTCAAACGATCCGCTCCCTGCTAACGGGTAAGAACTCGAACAAGACCGCTGGAAGAAACATAAACATACGTCTCCCAGAAGCTTGATGCCGTCATGTACGTTGTGTATGCAACCACTGAGAAGGAGCTCCCGTGCTGTGATCGGCTGAGTAGGACTTGATGTCAATCGCCCAGTGTCAATCCAGTGTTGTATACGGTCCAGATTTACAGGCGCATAGACCTTTTCGTTCCTGCGGAGGTCTCCTCATTATGTCCGGCATTAAAGTGACAACAGACTCACTGATTGGTGAAACCTTTTTTCGGAAATAGCTTCACGATAGGGGTCTGTCCACCTTCGAATTGCTGCTTCGGCTTGCCATTGCCCGACCGTGCCTTCTGACCTTTATGACCTCTCCCGGAAGTCTTACCGTGTCCGGACCTTCGACCTCTACCCACACGTTTTTGCTACGGATATTCAGCCAAATGGGTCTGGGAGAGCTGGAACAATCGCACCGTGTGCTGAGAGTTCGGCGCTGGTGATAAACTGAATAAATGGACCTTGCTGGAGGCCGACCGGAGGCGGGAGAGAGACATTGGCAGGCCTGACCGTTCCAAGTTGGCAGACGGCAAATATGGCGGTCTTCGGCAGACCCTAAATCTCCCACGACTGCCTCTAATTAAACGCGTCGCGTCGCGGTTGTGGCTCTTGTACCCTCTGTAACTTTAAGCTGATTCGAATGGGCTTGAAGTTGTGGACCATGGACGCCTCTGCAGTGTCTGATGCACTAAGCGATCCCTCTAATTCTCTTTTGGAGCTGTATAACTCCCGGAATGAATCCGAAGACTTCCCTGCAGTAGTATACGAACATTTTTCCAACCTCTTCAGAGCGCCAGACGTGTTTCATACTGTAAGTCAGTCTCAGGACAGCAAAAGCACTTTTTTAGTAACGTACATATAGATTCCTGCCCTTAGTGTCAAGAATCCCCCCGAGGCGCACGCTGAGGGCGCGCTAGTCAGATTTCGTGCCATGGTTCAAGACACATCGCAGTCCCCCGAAATGTACATGTCGCGATTAGCTGATGGAAGATGTGGAGGCTGGAACCTCGAGAGTACAGCAGAAGAGGAGGTTCTGCGACAGTCAGAGTATGCGAGCTTGAGAGAATGTACTGTCATCTGGGCCACCAGTGTCCCTGGCGAGGCCGACTGGGTGTTGGATGCAATGGATGGATCGGCGGGAGGTATGGCCCGTGTTTTAAGTACCGCGATTTGATTCTCATTATCTGCATAGCGACACAACGGGTACACGTCCCCGCTCGGCCTCACAAATTCCCTTTGCCAGACGCACTCCATGTGGGTGCCCAGGTCAAGGTGAGAAGACCTAAACACACCTTGCAGAAAGGTGTTGACAGGAGTGTATCTACAAGATATACCATGCATCTGGCCTGGACGCGAAACCGACGGATTTAGTCGACTTCGTCGGCATTCTTCACATCGACGTGTAAGACACCCCACCCCCGACCGCGAAGAACTGACCCTTGACAATTGTGGTAGATTACACGGAGAGCAAGAGGAGGTTCTGTCCGTCCCGACTCTTCATGTTCTCTTCTCCCGACCAGTCGACCGGTCTATGGCGTTTCGAGATCTGCCCCCACCAGACAACAGCGCGGACATTCGGAAGCAACTGATCTCATGGATCGCAGAGCAGGCCCTGTCCGGGGACTTGGATGCAGCTGAATGGGTGTTACTCTCTTGCATTGCCCAGATGTGAGCGTATGCCGTCTCTTGTGAGGTTCTCGGCCAAAACTGACTCTGAGGTCGACCTAAGTCAAGCCAGACAGACACCCTTGTTACCACCATCCCTCACGTTGTCTAAATTACCTCCTCCTCCAACCCCTTCTTCCGTGCCAGCCCTGTGCAGGGTGCTTTCTCTCCTTCTCCCGCAAGTGATCACGCTGCCCGCTACTCTTGACAGCTTAAACCAAGCGCGATTCATACCAGAAAGCATGGAAGAAGACTTGCACTCAGGGTACCTGCAAACACCCCAAGGGACTACAGTTGTTGTGGTCGAGGTCGGTTTACAAGAAGGGAAGTTGCGTGAAAGAGGTGTGCTCTGATTTTCATCACCGTCGTCTTATACAGATGATTGATGACCATGACGCTAGGCATGGCAAACGTCGTGGCCACTCAGAAGGCAATGTCGTCCCAGACCATCTCTTATGTTTTCCCATTCAGCCAATTCTCGTTCAACACGGACATGAACTTCATCATCATGACGGAAGGCAGCAAGAGCGCCTTTTTCAAGGTCAGAGAAGCTTCACATTTCCATATCTTGGAGTTGACTGATGACGCTCTAGACGGAGGTGGTCATGCCCGTTCAGCCAGAAAGTACTGCAGGTTATTACCGCAATGAAAGTGCCATCACGAAGCCCGCGTCACTGCCCACCTTTCGATACTACCTGCACAAGGCGAAGAATCGTAGCGTTACAGTAGGAGAGCAGATATCAGAGGTAGAATAGCTCTTGCATTCGTTCTTCGTTGCCGCGACTGAAACTGATCCTTTGCTTGTTAGCTCATTCAGAGTGATTTTGTGGAATCCAGGCGGCACAATCCAGCGCAATCACCAGAAGACCTTATTCTTAGGATGAAGATTGCAAAGTACGATCCATCGAGCGCCTTGCTGGTGTTATCACTGACATCCGTTGTGCAGACTTATGGCACAGTCCCTAGACCTGAAAGAGCTGGACGTTGAGACCTGGCGGAGAAGCACTACACTTCATGAACGGAGCATATTGCGAATGAGTTCGCAATAACGCCCGTCCACTGACCGCCTGTCATCTCAAGCTTAGCCTCGAAGTTCTTCCTACGCATCTATCTCGTTATCTTGGGTGTATCTCGTATTCTATCACTTGGTGACATTTGATGAGCATTCAAGTTGTCGCAGTCCATCATGGCCGCCCAAGGCCGTTCAGATCCGCCTGCAGCCAGATATCGCCTAATTCTGTCACTACCCTTGAAAGAAGGCCTGCGACTTTCGCGGCATCCGAACCTTTACCCTCCAAGTAGTACTTGATCTATCAGAGTCATGAGTCTACGCATTGCCGCTGGTAGAATATCGGAATTTACCTTCGGTTCAGTTCCACTAGTCCTGCGTGCACGAACAACGTGGTAAGCAACAACATGGTAAGCAATAGTTGGTATTGCAGAGCAGAGTTACGTGCCGTAGCGTTAAGAAAATCTCCTCATCTTTCGTTGGAGACTCGGCCTTGAACTGAATCATATGACCAGAAGAAAGAGGCAGAGTCGGCTTGTACGTAGGAGCATTGGAGCTGTCATAGCCGATAGTAAGGTCTCGCACTTGAACTATGGCAAGTCCAGCAATTGCTTTAGGATATGCGGCTCTTCCTGCGGTCTCCTGAGGAGCAGTGAGGAACGTCCTACCAGCAACCATGGAGCACGTACCTCGCCGGGGAATTCTCGTAATCGAGCGAATATCTTATTTATTGTGGCTGCCTCAGTGCAGATGAAATAGCTGTTACTCGTCTTGAAGGTAGACCTCGGTCAGTTCAGCCTCCAGCCAAGCAGGATGTGAAATTTACCTGGAAGTACCCATACCTCCCTCCGGCTGTTAACTTGACGACGGCAATAATGAGATAACTGAACTCACTGTTGATATAACTCCTGAAGGTATGAGAATGCTGTCTTGCCCCGCGCCTGCAGCGACGTGACCAGGTCCAAGAAAACTATCTATAAAGCGTCAGAAAGCTACTGCATAGTGAAAGTCTCGTGCAAACAGATGCTCACGGTGGCCGCGACCCCATCCTTGTCTCTGACTTCGTCTCCGAACATGAATCCGATGGCTTCCTCGTACCCGAAAGGAACTTCAAAGCCTTCGGATACCGCAACTAACGCAGTATTACCGATATACTTGAAACCTGAGGGAAGACTGGTGAGGTACGGTGAATGACCCAATATGAAGATTCCGTACCAGTAAGGCATTCCAGGAACCGGAAACCCTCTGCCTTGGCCATGGCAGCAATCATTTTTGAACTGACCGTCGACGCAACCATGGCAAGTTTGTCTGAAAACATACAGAGTGTTAGTCCAGCACGCTGGAACCTGACATGCCATACACCCACTTAGTTGTTTGCCACTGCCCCTGTAACTTTCCAGAACAGCCGCAGCGAAAAGAGTTCCCAGCTGATCTCCAGTGAATTGGGTCCATTTCCCATCTGGCCTAAAGGGGGGGGACATGTCAGACGACCGGTCGCATCCGTATACTGATTCTTACCGCCGTTCTGCTGCTGCAAAGCGGTCAGCGTCAGGGTCCTGAGCAAGCACGTAGTTGACTTTTTCTTCTTCGCCCCGCCTCATGGCAAGATCCTGTAATCGGTTTAAAAATTGCGAGGTAGGTGCGTCAAGGATTCTGTGCACACACCAAGGCACCTAGTTTTCATTCATTAAAGGAATCAGTCCCATCCATCGGCAGTCATAACGTTACAAGTTACCTTTCTCTTCAGGATTTGGGAATTTGACAGTCGGGAAATCAGGGTCTGGGGTCTCTTGCTCAATTACGGATACAAACGGTTGTCGGCCCAAAGATGCAAAAACCTTCGTCAATATTGCATGGCTCACTCCATGCATGGAAGTATTGACTACCCGTATTGTCTCGGGTGAATTAGTACTGCATGCCATCGATGGTTAGAATGCTTGAGCGACAACGATGCCGAGGCCTTAACCTCACCTGGGTGATGATAGTCCCTGCAGATACAGCAGGTATTTGCCCTGCATGCTTTCCGTGACATCGACGCAGAGTGAAGACGACAGGATACTCGAAGGATCGTATTGGCCTGGTTCTAAATGTGCTTCAATTGATTTGGCAATGCCCTTGTCGTGCGGCTCTACAATCTGTGCTAATGTTAGGATTTCTTGGAGCGGTAGATTGCTGACTTCCGACCTGCACTCCATTCTCCCAGTAAACCTAAAAATACGTTAGAGATGGTACGATCTGTGGAGCGAGGGACCTTGCTTTGTATCCATTATCATCCTGGGGTACAACCGCAAATTTCTAGTACAATTCTCTTTGAGTTCGTCAGATGGGCGCACCTTCGGGTTGTGGCTAGCTGTATTGACAAAGTTGATATCAGAACAGCCGTAGCACAATCTACATCACTTACCTGTAATCATAACTCCACATGCAGCACACAGTCTTTTCAGACTAAAGGGCACCCTACAAACGCCGATGTGAATACGTTACAGCCCAATTACTGGACAACCAAGGTCCTGTAATGACCCACATGGGCGTGTGGACCTTGCCACGGAGTAGATGAACCTTCATGTTTTTCGCGGCGAATGCAGCGGCGGTGAGCATCGCCCATCTTTCGGAGTTATGTCGATGATCATATCCAATGACTACTCCTCGAACTGAAGCATCGGCAATATTCTCCAGGACGTAGGCGCATAGACCCTGTCCAAGATACACCGTGTAAGCCACTGTGCATGCATGGTATCGGGTGCTTGACGGGACCGACCTGAGATGCCTGAATAATCGTAAGGTCATTCATTCTGGCAAAGCCAGCCTCCATCTTCCCTCTCAATCCTATCAGGATTGACATGAAAGATGCTGGCGGCAGTCGAGACATTTATTACCTGCTGTTCCGAACTCGATCCGCTTTCTGCAAGTCGCATCAGTACTCTTACTTCCGGGAATGATAAATGAGACGGCCAAACCTCAATCGCTTCTCCAACTCATCGGTACGGCGCTGTTGCCAGAGGAGCTCAATCTCTTTGCGAGTAGATTCATTCTAACGATAATATCGGTCTTACTATCAGGGCACAGTAAAGGAACACGGAAAATTAACGTGCTTTATCTAGTCGCAACCATTCCTTGACTAACTTCTCGATCGAGGGATTTGTGGCAGACATTCCAGTACTGAGTGGATGGAAATCGATGGTGAACCGGTAATGCTTGCCACAAAGTGGCTTGCGGTATGACAGTATTGACGTGGGAAATAGGCAACCTTCTTTCGGATTGTCCGAACTGGAGGTGCACGGCACTCTGAGGTAGTAGTGTCACAAGCTCTGCGAATCTCTAGCCGCGGTACATGGGCTAGTGGCGTACGGGCAGCCTACATTTTCACTGATACAACCAACAACGAATAAATACCATCTGCATATACAACCACGGGGCAGCCTCAGTATTGATACTCATACTGCTATGTTCCGGCTGGACAACTTGGAAGGTGAGGGTGAACCTGCTGCAGAAGCGGCAGTGGATGTACGTCGACGAGAGGAACGGCGGGCCCGACTCTCGCTCGCCGGCGCTTTGTGCCGCTCAGGGCGTCCGGCGGAATTAATCGTGGACGGTTGTGACAGCGGCGCGGAAACGGAGGGGGGTGCAGGATTGGAGGACAAACCGATAGCATTTAATCGTGGTAGTCGGATCTTCAGGGATTGGCTGTTAGGGGGCTGTGGCTGAGGGTTTTCAGATATCGAGGAGGTTGGCATTGATGGTGGTGCCGCAGGAGGAGCGGGAGGCGTGGATTTCGCCAGGGGTTTCTCGGACGGTGTCGGTTTGCCTTCGGACGTTGCTGTGAAAGACTCCCGGCTGGCGAGACGAGTGGGAATAGGGGATTTTCTGCGAGGCTGAGGTACACGCCCTGAACGTCGCGGTCGCGCAGAGCCTTCACCGTCTTCTGGTGAAGTCTTCTGAGGGGCCGGAGCGTGTTGTGCTTTACTAGGGCCGGCGGTTGGAAGGTAATCCGTCTACCAGACAACTGCGTAAGTTTCCCACAAATCTTGGAAAAGAATCTACGAACATCGTCCTGCTCAAGCTTTGGCAGTTCATTCACATTACTGGGAGCACTTGCGCGGGCATTTCTACGTTCAGTCCTTCTAGGCGCTGGTGGCTTTTCTGCCGCAGCTTTATGTGAAGGGCCTGCAGTACGCCGCCGCTTACTTGCATCCCCAGCGTTGCCATTGACTGCACTCGAGCCTGCATCATGCTTCTCAACCGTGAACGAACCTTGGCCGGCTTGTGGTGCAGTCACCCTCAGACCGCATAGTAGCTTTCGGAGACAGTTAAGGGGCGAATTTTAACCTGTAGGCAAGGAGCTCATACCTCGGCTATTCTGATGTCTTCCTCGTCAGGCTGCGCTGTATTAGGATGGCTAGACGCAGTGTCGTCCATGTCAAGTTCGCTGAGGGTTGTTAGAGGAGACGAAGCCGTGCTAGGTATTTCGAATTCTCTGCTAGCCGTGATAAGACTCACGCTCCCCGTCCGAACGACCTGACTCACCTTCGATGCTGGCCGTGATTCTTGACCTTGTTCCAAAAGTCAAGCACAACGACCTTTTCTGGAACTCTGTACCGTCGCCCGTTGATCATGACCTCGTCCACTGACACTTTCGGGACAGCCGAGACAGGTTCAGATTGGATTATTTCAATATTCCCATTATTCCACTGGTTTGGTCTCGAGATATCTATGGGTGGTGCATTATGCTTAGGTATACGCCGCTTTGGTTGCTGCAGACCGATATAAAGACATGTACGACAAGGGAAAGAGTATGGCGCTCACAATAACATGTTCCGCGTGATTAGGACACATCCATTTCTTCCCAAAGGACGGCATCGAAGGTAATGGCGGATCAAGGCAGTCAAGATGGAAGTGCAGGTCACAATAGTCGCAGGACACGATACTCTTCCAGACGCCGGCTTTGCAGTCAGCGCCTGATAATTTTCGGGCTCGCTTCACCGCAGGAGAGTGCGCGGCAGCGTCATCTGGCAGAGCGGACATGCCGCAACGGAAACACAGAACGGGAGCACCGTTTCGGTCTTTTAATCGATACGGATCCCGATCTTCGAGCTGTCCGTGCCGACTGAAAAGTGATATAAGAGCAACGTTCCAATATCCGCGGCAAAGTACGTACTTTAGACGAGGCTGTTTGATCTCCGATGCATCGACATATCCCCCTCTTGCGTTACTCGCCACTGTCAGTATAGTGAGCCACAAGTCCGTCCAAGCTGACATGCATTCTTACCATCCTTGAAAAACCCTCTAATATCATCCGGCAACTGGAACTCTATCGGTATGCTCGTCTGCACCTGCTGTATGACGGGCGCCAAAACCGAGGGCGGCGGCTGCGGGGGCGGATTCTGCGTGCCACGAACGAACGTCACTCTCGTGTCGCGAAAAACGCAACGGCAGTAGTAAGCAGACCTGGCGAATACTGCAATTGGGGCAGAACCATCTCGCGTCCCCCTCGGGCAGGTCGCCCGGCTCCATGGGCGGGTTGAGGCACCAGAGGTGGAACGCCCGCGGGCACCCGTCGCAGTATACGAGCGCCCCGAGAGACCGGCATGAAGAACAGTGGTCTTCGTTAGGCTATCGAAACGTCAGAGGGATTTTGTTTGCGAGATGTTTTGACCGCATACCGCCTGGTCCGCTGGGGGCAGCGCGACGTTCACCGGCTCCTCCTTCACCCTGAGCCCCGCCTTTTCCTTCTCCTTACCTTTCCCCTTCTCCCTCTTCCCGCCCTTCCCATTAGCAACAGTTTCGTCCACGTTGAGTAGCGAATTCGACCGCGAGAGCGGCGGCAGGGGCTCCGCGTCCATCTGCACGGACGCCGAGTCCGAGTCCGGCACGAGCGGCGGCGACGACGGCGCGGACTTTGCGCCCAGCGCCGCGTCCGACGAAAACGACGGCGCGGCGTTCACGTTGCGCGCAGACGCCCGCTGGGCGCGGTTCGCGGCGGACCTGGCACCAGCAGCGTCCCGCACGGACACGGACACGGACACACGCGCGAGAGAGGCGACGCGGATGCGGTCGACACGCGCGACAACACCCACCGCACGGGCCGCACACAATCACCAGCACAGAGCAAGACAAACCAAGCAGACCGTCAGCAGCATCCCAGCATCCCAGCGGCGCACGGCGCACTCACCCCTTATCGACCCGTGCCCGCTTGCGCTTGGGCGCGCCGTCCGTCTCGAGCGCGGACGTCATGGCCGCGACGCTGTGCCCGCTGTACGTCGTGCCGGGGTCGGACGCGGGCAGGTAGGACACGCCCGGCTTCTTGGGGTCGCGCCGGTGCGCGAGCCCGCTCTGCCTGACCGCGGTCAGCGAGGGCGGGCCCGGGAGGATCTCGGTGGCCAGGGACGCATCGCCCTCGAGGTGCGGCGGCTGCACGACCGGCACGGTGGGCAGCTCGTACACGGGGACGCTCATCGCAGATGTCATCCCGGATAACTAGGGGTCCTTTGGAGGGCGCAGAGGCAACCGCGCTTGGGTTGTTCCGTGCGGCAGGTGGCAGTCCGGGGGAAAGACGCGGACGTACTGGATACTACGACAGGTGGACCTATTGTACAAAATTTCTATCTACGCCTCCATCACCTCTCCTGGGCATTACGATACGCTTGTCATACTTCTGCTCGTCGTCATCACAAAGCAGCATAGAGTACAGAAAAAAATGCAAGGAGACTTACTGCTCGATTTGCTGACATGCGCGTCGTGACGGCGCTTGTGGGCGCAGTCGCTGCACGGACCACGAGCGAGCCGAGGAGCGGTCTGATGCCAGTTTAGAAAGATACTCGGGAGACAGAACTTTTGTAGTACTCGCCTCTGGCGTTATCCCATCCTCGCTACACGCCGTGTAATGCGATCAGATCTCCACATCGCCCGCTTCATCGAGACATTTGAGCTGCACAAAGACGTCGCTTCCTGCACTGGGATCAGCGGGGAAGTAACTCGGACGAGCCAAGTCCACTGACCCCATCCGTCAAGGGAGAAGAGATCCAACGAGCCGCCAAAATACCTTGCGTGCATGTCAGGCCTTCCAAACACGCCAAGGTCGCCTACACACATACTTTGCATACAGCCTGCTCATCGGAAGGCCGTACCCCAAGCCAGCAATCGTCCCCATCCCGACTTGCAAGCCCTTGCCCGTCATCTGTTCAAATAGATTCGTGCTCCCCCCGCCCACCGCCGCGCTGCCCCCGACCTGCTGCGCGGCATACGGGCCTCCGCCGATCTCCTCGCGCCCGGTGCTCCGGTCGGCAGTCGTAAACGCGTAAGAGAATATGCGGGCCATGTTGGCAGGGGAGACGCCGCCGCCCTGGTCGCGGATCCTGATGCCAATGTGAGATCGGCCGTCGACTTTCGGGGAGGGACAGATGGTCACGCGGACGGCGGGCAGGGGGGTGCGGGAGGACGTGCCGTGCTGCTTGTAGTGATGCTCTACGGTGGCTCGGAAGGAGTTTTTCAGTATTTCCGTGGCGATGTATTCCAAGTGGACGGGAACGTAGCTGGCGAGACAGTATAAAGGGACGCGTAGGAACTATGAAGGAGCTCACTCACACAAAGGTGGCATCAACGTGCCCGTCCAGAACAAGCTCAGGACTTGCACCTAGAGTGGCTTCACACAGCTCTGCGACCCACGACCCGCACATTTTGATCATTCGCGCGGGAGAGAGGGCAAGATCAACCACGCCTATGCGGTCCGAAGTTTGCTCGGGAGCGCTCAGGGCGCGCGAGATAGCGATATGCTGCTCAGCAATGAGGCGGACGGCTATACGGTTGCGGATGGCACCGTCTAGAAAGTTGCTGATCTGGGTCGGGGACATGTAACGCGTGCATTCTTGGAAGCTGGACATGCCCTGGCTCGTAAGGGTCAGTCCCTGAGCGAGGGCGGCGGGAGACTCACCCCTTGGCGAGCGTGGGGATGTCGTTTGCGTGGCTCTGGACGAAGGATTCGAGCTGGGAGGTAAACTGTGCGTTTTCCTCGAGGGAGGTTACGGCGGGCTGGGAGGCGAGCCAGAGGAAGCTTGTGCGGTGGCCCTCGAGGACGCGTGCCACAAACGGGTTCGTGCCGACGATAAAGGGCAGAGCCTGGAGGGACATGACGCGCTGGGCCATGCGGCGCGGGATCTCTGCCTGGGCATAGGAAACAGACTTGAGGACGGAGCGGGGCGTCGGGGGGCGGCCGAGCGAGAGCAGGGTCGCGAGGGTGAGCGGCGTGGGCGGGCGCTGGGAGTGTTTCTCGAGGAGCGCAGCGAGCGCCGAGGGGACCGGGTCGGGCGGACGCCTGTGGACGGTCGAGAGCCCGCGCCGGGTGCGTGTTCGCAGCAGCGCGCGAGCGGGCGTGGATGAAGACATGATCGCGGCTTTGGGACGGAGCACAGGCCCGGGGGCAACGCCCGCGCCGGCAACGCCCGCCCGGATCAAGGATCGTGTCGGAGGAGGGCCAGGGTTAATCCTCTCCCCAGACCTATAAAAGCCGGACCCGTGCAGTCGCCGTCTCAAACATGGCAGACGGCCCGTCCCTCGACCCCGGCCATCCCTTCTCCGCCACGTCCCACATCTCTTTCAACTACCACAGACAGACAATCTCCGCCGCTCCTTTCGGCTACGACTACTTCCTCTCCCTGCCCCCCGCCTACGCCTCCTCCCCCGCCCGCACGTGGCCGCTCATCCTCTTCCTCCACGGCGCCGGCGAGTCCCAGCGCGGCCTCAACGAGTCCTACGCCTCCCTGCGCCACGGCATCCCCAAGCTCGTCCTCTGCTACGACAAGTGGAAGGCCGGCTGCCCCTCCCCCGCCATCCACATCCCCAAAGCCACGCGCTTCAGCTCCCGCCGCCCGATCCCCGACCCCGCCGACCTCTCCGCGCACCCAGTCCCCCCCGCCGCCTGCACGCTCGCCGCGGAACAGTTCATCACCGCCTCGCCCTCCCTCGACATGCTCCACGGCTACGGCTGGAACCCCGCCGTCCTCTCCTCCCTGCTCGACGAGCTCCTGCTCACCTACGCCGTCGACCCCGACCGCGTCCACGTCACCGGCTTCTCCATGGGCGGCTACGGCACCTGGGCCCTCGCCCTCCGCGCCCCCCACCGCTTCGCCTCGCTCGCCCCCATCTGCGGCGGCGCCGACCCCGCCCTCGCCAAGTCCATCGCGCACGTCCCCCACTGGTAAGCATTGCCAGCACTTCAAGGTGTCCGTCTAATCCACCCCCCCCCCCCCGGCAGGATACACCACGGCGAGAGCGACCCGATCATCCCGATCGAGGAGAGCGTCGAGATGCACCGCGCCCTCCGCGACGCCGGCGCCGACGAGGTGCACTTTACGCGCTACCCAGACACCGAACACGACTCTTGGACATACGCATACAATAATCCCGACCTCTTCCGCTGGATGCTCGAGAAGACCAGACCCGCGACGAACATATCGCAAACGCCCTACCCCTAGAGCTGGGCTAATACCGCCATATCATAATACTCATACTCGGTCAACACGGACACATACGTTTCTGCTGCCGTCTCCCAGTATGCCTACACGAGGACGGACGCTGCCTCTCCTTATCCACGACACCTTCACGAATATATAGGATCTCTGATGTAGCACTAGGGTTTTTCTTTTTATCGCATATGTATTCTATAATACGGGAATATACACGAAGATGGAGCCTTTGCTTGTTTTGACACCAGCACCCTAGGTAGGACATTCGGAAATTCCTGGTCAATGGGCTGCACGAGCCAAGGTCTGGTGCCCAGCTGTATCCCCTTTTCTCGAGACGTACGCACGGCAGTGTTCCCGTCCACACCTCTGACGAGCATAACGCAGTCAAAACGAGATAGCATATGAAGACAGCTACGATAAAGATACAGTAAATCCCAAACAGCCACGCCGACGCGTACTCGACACAAAGATTCAACGCCGCGCCTTGCTCTTCCCGTTCGTCTTCGCAGGCGCCTTCTTCTTCGGCTTCGCGTCCGAATCGTCAGAGTCTGCCCCACGTCCCTCCTCCGCGCGCTTTCGGTCCGCTATAACATCCAACGGAAATGAGTCTCACTGCTGCCAACGAGACACGAGAGGAACGACTTACACTTCGCCGCCTTGCGCTCCAGTTCGTCCCAATCGTCCCCGTCACTGTCGTCGTCAAAGTCAGACCCGCTGCCCTCGTCGCTCCCAGCAGAGTCGCCGTAGTCGCTCTCCTCGTCCTCGCTCTCGGAGTAATCAGACTCCGCCGGCTCCTCCTCGTACTCGGACTCTTCCTCCGAGGATTCCTCCTTGTCGCTCTGTGCGCAACGCCCAGCGGTTAATTCACACGTCTCCCCAGCAGAATGGCTACGCATCGTACCTCGCCGCCCGTGGCACCGCCCAGGAAACTCCATCCGCCTTGCTGGAAGAAATCATAGGGGTCCTCGTTGATCGTCTTCATGATGGGTCCCCAGTTAAGATTGACGGGGCCCTCGCTGAGCGGGATATCGACCGAGCTGCGTCCCAGCATGTAAGACGCGCATACTAGTACAACAGAACAAGCCTCTCACTTACTCTAACCAGTTCTTCACATCATCGAGCTGCGCGCTCGGAATCGAATTGATATGGAGAGGAGGTTTCGTGAAATCCTTGAAGATGAGGACCAGATCGAACTGCTTGAGGCCGAACTGCACACGCTCTAGTGATGCAATCTCGATCTCGCTCAGAGTGACAACGAGGAATGGTGGATCTGATAGGTACACAAGGCACTCCGTCGTGGGCTGCAGTCGGACATTCGTCCGGAACGGCACGCCCTCGAAGGACAGCTCTCGGAACGGAATGTCAGGTTCTAGCGTGTCACCGGTCTGGAAGATGCGTCAATAAAATTAGTCACTCTGTGAAGAGAGAAACCTACCGATGCAGTCGCAGCCTCGGCGATTTTTTCGGCGAACATTCTGAACTCCTTGTTGAGCATCTGCCTCCGCTTTCGCTCCTGCTGCTCCATCTCAATTTCGTCCTCGTCCCCGTACCGGTACTTTCGTTTCCGATTTCCTGTCTCGTCGAACTGGACGTCAGAGGCTTCGCGGAAGAATTGCACGTCCCAGGCTTTGCGTTTGCCAATCATGATCGGCGCCTTGAGATGAATGTGGACAATGACAAGCAGTTCGTGATCGCATGGCTGGAAGAACAGATGCTTGATATTACTGTACAACACATCTGCAAGCCACCAATCTCAGCCAGCAGGTAAATAGCGAAAAGACGATCACATACCTAACTTCTGCGAACTAGCAGGTGACTGGTATCGCAGACCGTTCTGATGGATTTCCACCTCCCCCGGCAAACGCTTGCCGTCCAGGGCTGGTCGTACAAAAACTTCCGGAAGCTTCTGTGGTCGGCGACCCTTGACCTCTACCAGGGTGTCTTGCTCAATGACGTCCGCCATTTCCTTCTTTTGTTGCTCGCGCTTGTTCACTTCCTTTTTCAAGTCTGTGATTTGCTTCGCGATTGAGTCAAATCTATGTCCATCCGCAGACCGGTAAGACATGGAACGTATGAACGACGCATCTGGATCTTCGAAGGGCTGAATCGACGATTCAGCGCCTAGAGACGCGACGCCTAAGACAACAGGCTTACCGTATCTTCCTTCTTACCTGCCAGTTGACCAGGCGTTTGGAAGTTGATGCGTAGGTACGTATAGTCACCTTCGTCATTCTTGCTGACATTTTTGATAGTGTTGATGTGGAACGGAACAGCGAAACCATAGACAGGGAGGATGACGGTCTGCGCCTTGCGATCGACATAAATCTGGGAATACATGTCAATGCCAGTCGAGCAGTACATTTACCTCGCACATGACTTACGCGCAGATTTTCAACCTCTCGAGGTAGAGCAATTTCTCCCTTGTAACTCTGGAATCGTTTCCAAGTCTTGCCTTCTTTACCACCAGAGCCTCCTCCGCCTTCGGAGTACTTGGCTAGTCCTTCCGCTTGAAGCTGTGCATGCAATTCGCGCTGGTGTTCCATTATCCGAGCCAGCGTGGACTGAAGCTCTTCCTCCTGTCTCCGAGTCTTGTTACGGAGCACCTTCCCGCCGGCAGTCTTGTTCTTCACAGGTGACCCATGCCCATTCGCCACGGGTTTTGCTGGTGGCTTCTTGGCCTCCTTGCCAGAAGGCTTCGCTTCATCTCCGTCGGCGGGATTAAGGAAGAATAATGTCTCTTTGGGTGCCTTGACTCCTTCGGTCAGCAGCGTGCTCTTCTCTTGGTTAACCAAGATCGTATCAGCAAGTTGGAGAGCGTATCTGGATCCAACAAAAACATTGTGCTCAGTCATCTAGACGCAACTGGAATTTCAAGTACGACGACCTACTTCTTTCCGCCATCCTCTTGAAGTTCTGAGAATCCCAGAACGAGGTTGATTGTCATCCCCGCCTTCAGCGGCCGGCCATTTCTGGGAGAAATGAGATAGGTGGAATCGCGAAATTCCATGCCAATCTAGGCACATATGATTCAATCGAATGTCGTCAGCCGACGGGGACGAAAATGCCACTCACTCCGAATCCAATGTTCTTCACAAAGTGCTTCTCCAGCTCGGGCTTCTTCTCCTTTACGAAAGAGAGTGCATGCTGGTAGACGTCTCGGGCCGTCACACCTTCTTTGATGAATGACAGTAGTGACGTCTGTAAGGATACTAGTAAGCCGTAGATAGCCTCTTGCTCCTGCAATGTTGTGACGACGTCAGCGTATTCGTCCGAGAGAAACTGGACTAGCTGCTCCTGACCCTGGTCGGATTGACAATGAAACTCCTCCCCAAGTTGGCGCAGTATCCCTTATACCGCATGCCCACGGACACTAAGATGACACCTTCGTGAGCGATGTTATCCTCAGTCGACTCAGCAGTGAATCGTAAGTCATAGCCAGAACTGGAAGATCGAGATTGGATGATTGGGGAATAGCAGAACTCTGTCGACTGCCAGTCGACCTGTGCACATTGTAAGATTTCATGCATGACGCCCTGTTCCCGAACACTCACGTCTGTCAGGCGACCTTTACTCCATACTTTCATATCGGGACCTTTTGCTTTATCGCCTTCACCGGACCCCAGGCGCATCTCAATTTGTGCGGCAAATTGTTCATGGGATATTTTGGCTTCTCGGTCCAGGATAGTCTCCAATTTTACTGCTATATGATGAGTCATGAGTGTCGAAGTAAGATTAGCGGCGGTGCGGATGATTTTCTGAACGGGATGTGAGCATTGGATAGTCGAGAGAACCTGGACTTATATGACATACGAGCTCTTCCTCATCCTTCACAGCCAGGAGAGTGGCTACTGCAGGCGCTATATCCAACATCTCCGGTTTTGACGATGATTCGGCTGTCGCCTGATTCCACTCATTGACGAGTTTCCCCGATTGCGATTCTTTGAGGAGAGTGCCGACACGTTGATGAGAGGTGAACCGTTCGACCAGCTTCGGTAAAGCATCTGTAGGGGGCTCGTTCGGTTTCGCTTGGGCGAGAACCTCGACGGGAACGGGTGTGTTAGCATTCTGTATTTGGGCCAGAATTTTTGCTGGGAGGGGACACGCCGTTTAGTAAGCTTGAAAGCGTGTCTGTGAAGAACATCACCTTTCTTCATGGAGCTAAGAAACCAGATTTTATCTTTCTCGAACAGTATGAACGTTGATGGGAACTCATAACCCAATAACCACGTCTACACGCGACCGGTCTAAGATGTCCTAGGAAGTCCAAGGAAACCTGAGTGGAACTTACCTGGAAAGCGGTGCCTTTTCGGATAGGCTCATCCTCGCCCGCGGGGTCTCCTGCAGCAAAGAGAAGTGCGTCTGTGCTGGCTAACGATCCGTAATCATCGTTCGCGCTGGCATTCTGGATGAAAATGGACAGGAGATCAGACTTCGTGGTGCAATTGTAAGCCGAGGATAACGCACATTCCAGGCGTCATAGACGTGTCGCAGACGCGAGCTAAACAGAATTTTGTTCAGCTGGACAGCCATCTGAAGGGGAAGAGAAGGGAAAGGTGGTGGTCGGAGGGCAAGGTGCTCTGCGCGTCTGTGGCGGCACCGAAATGCACGACGCGCTCACGATGCGGATGCGTCGGAGCTTGAAATCGCCTTTACCATGACCTCGTCGGAGGCTACTGCGTTTGCTGAATCGCTTAGAGTCTATACTGAATACGACGAGCACCTTCCTCACCCTGGTTCATTCTGGACGCGGTTTGTCTGTATCTCCGACACCCATTCCCGTACTAGATATCCTGTTCCTCCTGGAGACGTCCTTCTCCATGCCGGAGACTTGTGCCGCTATGGCTCGCTCTCAGACCTGAATACTACTCTGAACTGGCTGAAGGAAATGCCCCATCCACTGAAGATGTGAACACTCTCGCAGTAGTTGAGGTTGTGTCACCCTTGGGGAAGAAATCTGACCCAAGTTCCAACAGAATCATTGCCGGGAATCACGACGTGCGCTCGTAATCCTGCATTCACATCCGAACCTCTGAGATTAGATCAGCTTTGCTTAGATGAAGGCTGGACGCAGGAAATGAAACAGGTGAGCGGCCATCGTGTCTTCAAGGCGCCTTGTGTCCATGATGAATCGTCTGCAGGACGTGGAAGCCGCTCAGTTACTGATCCGAAGCACTCCCGTGAGTGAAGCTGGGATACGCTACTTGCAACATGAGTTCTTCGAATTCGCCACGAGCAGTGGAAAGCGGTGGAAGGTGTACGGCAGTCCAGTGCGTAAGAATCTCGGACCCAGGTTATGGGCGTACTACTGACGCCTGCATGCTAGGCTGCTCCACTGTATGCAGTTGGTGCGTTCCAGTATGAAACTGTCCGGCAGGCGGACGGTACGTGAATTATATATTCTCCAGCGAAGGCTTCACATCCCTTGGAACCACTTTGTTCCAGACATCTATGCTCGTATACCCTCTAACACTGACATCTTGCTCACCCACACGCCGCCATACCGGGTCTTGGACCGGACGCGCAAGGGCAAGCATGCTGGCTGTCCCCGCTTAGCCGCGAGAATAAAGACCCTGCCTGCGTGTAGATTACACGTCTTCGGACATATTCATGAAGCCCATGGGGCTGTTGTCGCGAAAGACCCGACTACGACAGGTCGCGTGTCTGTTAACGCTGCGGTAGCGTCGGGAGGAAAAGCAATCATCGTCGATATGAAGTAAACTCACACCTAGCACAATGTGACGGAATATCTGCTCTCGTGTCCACGCGGCTGGGATGACAATGAAATATGTTAATCATTCGTCTTCAATTCCTAGGATCCCTAGGTCCCTAATAATAAATACTGCCTCTTCGACTCGCATCTCTAACACCGTCAGCTTATCTCTTCTAGATTCCCATTCCTGTATTATCTCTCTCTCAACTCTTGTGAGAAGTCGCTCATCTTGCATAACATCACTTCGTTCTCGCTTATCCAGCACCGCTTTCACGCTGGGTTCTTGTGCCTCTGCATGTCTTCGTGCGCCAATATTGTATATGGACTTGTACAGAAAGCCCAATAACATCGTATAAGCTTTTGTGAGGTCCACATACCTGGAGCGTATTAGATAGGCTATTACTAGACGTCAAACCAACGCACCAGAGGTAAAACGTCCTCGTCGGATTTCGATCGGCGCTGCGTGGGACCTCCTGCAGACTTACTAGAGAGTCCGCCGACAGAGCCGACAAAAGGGGTCGGACGTCTTTGGGAGCCATCATGGCGACTTTTGATATCTGTGAGGTGACTCTCAGAACCACTACCCAAGGGAGTGTCAAACGACTCCTACCTGTTTCTCATCCATCTTACCTCTATCCAGAAGTAGGCGCACTATCCGTACAGCGTCGTCGCCGTGACGTTCTCTAGTAACGGCCTCAAGAACCCTTCTTCGTAGCCTTCTACCGACGATCTCAAATTCCACCTGGACCTTGGAACCTCCAAACGAAACGAAAGAGGCCGAACGCCCCGCCGGTGTCGGATTGTCCGCGCACGCTAACATACCAAGATAATCTTTCATAAGAGCGATATCGGAGGGCTTTTTATGTGACGATGGGAGGATCAAGCCAGAAGACAATTCTGCCTCGTCTAGTATATGTTCCGCAATACTGGCTAGGGAGACCGGATCTATTGACGGTTTAGACTGATCACTGAGTTAGAGAAGAGGCAGGAACATACCAGATCGAGGCTCAGCTACGTCGACTTGCTTTCCTTCTGTCGTCTTCAGTACAGCTCGCATAACAGATGCGGCTGCATCATTGTACCGTTCCCGGACGGCTGATTCGATGAGCTGCCCGCTCCAACGTCACCATACCGGCACATAGATACGAGCGAAAGTCTATGCACACCTTATTTCGAATATGCACGTTGTACCTGTCGTAGTTGACACGGAAGTAGACGTCGTCCTAAATACGAGTCCTAAATGAGCACAGCCAACAGCGTATGTACGACGTGAGTAACCCACATCTACCTCGTCCTCCTCGATAATCTTGCGCTACTCGCGACTCAGCATGCGAAAAGTCAGAAACAATATGTACGGTATACCTTTGACGAACTTCTCTGATTCAACTGGTCCGCCGCTTTTCGTTTCTATACAAACTAAACATTACACTATTATCATTTCATCCGAGAATTAGAACCTGACTCACCAGGCCCACTCTTTCCGCTTCTTCCTCCTCACGTTTTAGGCGCGCGGTGGCCGCCTCCTTAGCCTCTCGGAGCTGCTTCGCAGTTGGCAGGCCAACCAGCTTTCCCCGCTCTTCAGCCTCGTATTTGATTCTTTTGTCGCGGGGAGACTGATGGGATAAAAGTGTGGAGGGCTTGATGTACGAGCCAGAGAGGAGCTTATGTAGTGCTTGTGAATACGACATGGAGCCTGAACGGTGTGTGTTAGAATGCCGACCATAGCGTACGATTTTATAGGTTACTAGTACTTTTGGGGTCTGCAGTTGATAACCGTGATATAATTTCGGGGCGCCGAAGTTTACCATGATCTAGCAGCAGCTGTATCACAGCTGCGGCCTACAAAAGTAAAAGACCAGCGAGTGAATTGAGTCGAGGTGAACATACCTCTTTGCCGAAAAGGACTTCTGTTTGCCAGACAAATCTCCCAAATCTCAGTCTAATCAAACATTCCTGGATGTTAAACTCCACCACTTCTCCTTCCTCCTCGGTATGAGCATGCCAGAGGACATTGTGCTGCACCAGGACAATTATGCATGCTCGAATTGTTCGAGGCTTTAAACCAGAGAAGCGCACCAGTTGGGCTAGTCCCAACCTGCCCCTTGTGAGAAGGATAGATGCAACTTTCTAACCCAAAGTGAGTTAATCATCCATTCTCTCGTGCTGCAGGAGAGCACATACCGCCGTTAGAGGGCCGAAATGAGACTCAACGATCTCTGTGCATAGACGAGCGGTATTAACGTCCGCCATAGTAAGCGGGAGCGGGAGCTCGACAGAAGCAGTTTAGTTAATTTAACGCAGGTATTCTGGTCCGAGTTCAATCAAGACCCATTTCTTGTACTATCCAATTTTCTTAAATCAGGAGGTCTGGATAGACTACACATAGACATCCAAGTAATGCAATACAGAGTGGTGTATATTGGACGAGCGATAATGTAAGACAATTTCCACCAGCTGTTCGGAGACTCCGGGCCAGGGTTATTGTATGGTATTAAATATTTTCTACAGTGAAACGGTTCGTTCCCTTCCCCCCACGATGCTCTTGCAGATCTTCAGGACGTTCAGGGCCTATAAACGTGAGTAACAAGATGCAAGTGAGATACAGCCCATACAAGGAGGTTGTGCACATGGTAAGGGGAATAGAATGTAAACCTGCGGAACCGAGAAGAAATTACTTAGCCTTCGCAAATGTCTTGATGCTCAGTCGTAAAATACTGCGAAATGCTTGACCACGCGGTATCAGATGGTAAGACATGTCAAACGCGTCGGCTGTCCTTCATACTGTGCCGGTAGGTCGTTGTGGGGGGAGCACGATCTTGGAGGAACTTGCACAAAACGGCTGAAAGAACACAGCTTCGGGCATATAACGGCGTGGCCGCAAACCCTACTCTTTACGTGCTCGCTTGGATTCTATCTCGATAGTCAGTATAATGTCCACGACCATCGAAACAGGGGGACTGACCGGGCGAGGACGTCGGAGACTGCTCATCATCATCAGAGAAGTCATCTTCCAACTCGTCAAAGCTTCTTTTGGAATGCTTGTGAGAGACTACATGGTCGTCTTCCAGGGGACCAGAGTCTGGGTCAGCGTCCCATGTCGCATCAGTATCGCTCAGGTCTTCATTCCACTGTGTTTCGTCATCCTCGTTGGCTGCTTCCTCCCGCTCAACATCTTGATGCTCTTCGTTCTCAGGATACTCAGGAACATCTAGGTACGAACAACATTATAAACTACGGGCAAGTCCCAGGAAACGGTGCCGCACATACCTGGGGGTTCTTCAGTGTAGGTGACTACAACAGGATCTTCTGTCGGATCAACCAGGTCGTCTCGATCGGAAGGGTAAGCGGATCTGGATTTATCTTCAGAAAGTGGCTCATCTGGAAAGTAGGTCAGTACCATCTCACCTAGCGGAGCATGTCAGACACGTACTGCTATGCGTGGACGTCTCGTTATCTTGACCAGCGTCAAAATCCTCGCCCTCTAGTTCCCCAGAAACATCTGGTACTTCCTCCTCCCCATGTCCTGAAGTTTCTTGGTTATGCAGCAGAGACTGAGGCCCATTGCCCTGAAGAGAAGGCTCTTCGCCGCCTTCGACCACGTCACCAGGCTCGATAAGTGTGGAAGAGTGATACTCAGGTGGTAAGCCGTCGTCCACGTCAACCGTACCTCCAAGTTCCTCCGGTAACGCTTCACCGAACCTCTCATCGTCATCCTCATTAGCATTTGCGTACTCCTCATAAGCACCATAGTCACCACCAAGTTCTTCGTCCTCTTCGGCATCGGGATCGTCGTGAATAGCGTCTGCATCCAATGTAGCACTAGAGACTGAATCCGTTTGCTCCTCTTGGTAGGTCTGATCTTCCAAAAGCGTCGTGGGGTCACTGGAAGCTTGCAGAGCATCGCCCCCCGCGAAGTTACCTTCCGTGGTCGTCTTTCCTAAAGCGTCGTCAATCTCACAGAGCTAACAGCAGAGGCAAGCAGCAATACCTGTAGTTCCCTCTCGATCTTGCGGTGTCTCGTCCAAATATTGGTCCTCGTGTGTCTCTCCCGACCCGGAAGCCTGATGGAATGTGAATGGTTCTTCGTTTCCTTTATGTTCTTGTAACGCGGGGTCTTCGGGATCGTTCTGTTCCAGACTATGCGGTTCGTCTACCTGCTGATGGGTGACGGGGGCGTTCGGAAGTCCGTCAGTGGCTGGACATCGATACGGCCGCATCAGCAACCAGAATATTGTGGATGATAATCACTACGTACTATCTTCACTGGCAGGTTGTGCGCTTTCTTCAATGTTCAAGCGCCCTAGCTGTTCGCGAAGTTCGTGATATCGCAATATAAACCTGGGCGCGCTGAAAGACAATCGAAGACGTAGAGGGCCTGCAAGACCAAACCCATCATGCAGCGCGTTGAGGTCATGTAAACTGATCTCTCGAGCGAAGACATTGTCCTGGAGAAAGACATCTGTAAATGATACGGACCTATTGATGACATGGGGTGCCTTACCTCTGAAATCACAAGTTGCAGGTCATATGCATCAAGACTCAACTCGCCAGTCATCAACTCTGGGATGGATGTCAAATGCTCCTCTCGCCTCAAAGCATCAAAGACGTCGCTCAACGGCTCATAATACAGTACCGGGCGTTGGTGCAAAAACAAGAGATAATCAGCAGGCGCGCTGTCATGCTCTTCGGCGGGGCTCGAAGTCCCAGACGAACTGGACGGTTGATTGAAAAGGCAGCATTCTGACGGCGTGGAACCCGCTGGTAAAGCGAGGAGGACAGCAGGAGGCGGGTCAATGTATACTCCTTCAGATATCTGATGAGGATCATCCTGTCCAGCCCTGGATGCTTCGTAGTCCCCTGTCGCGGCCGGTGGTTCAGTTATGTCTGCATGAGTCTCCATGTCAGAAGATTCATCCTGCGGAACGACAGACGCTTCCTCTACATCTTGCGGATTGACCGCAGAGGATAAGGAAGGTCCGTCAGCAGACTCTGTGGTTTCGCGTAGATCGCTAGGTAGTGCCGAGACCGAGCTTGCCCGAAGTAATGGGTCTACACTTTCACGGTCACGCGCATGTGCCTCGAGTTCCGCTGCGACCTCTGCCTGTTCCTGAGGTACGTTTTGGGGGGAAGTCTCCTCAGGGGATGCGACAATCTCCACTGTTGCTGGGTTCGGGTCCACCTTGGATGCTTCGACGCCATTATGAGGATCGTCTGCAGATGCAACACGAGCTTCATGAGCGTCGACGGCATCTCCGTGTGCGTCGTGCGCTGTGGACGCCGCAATGGACGAGGAGATGCTTCCGCCCAGATTCTCTGCTGCTGAAAGTATTTCCAACTGCGATACAGCAGAGCCCGGCGCATCTTGAGGCTTTTGTACTAGCGAGGGGGACGCGCCTTCAGCCTGCGGGGATAGGCGAGGGTCTTGCGAGGACCGTCGGCAATTCACAGTGCTATTCGTGTCCTGATTGTCAGCTAGCGACATCGTGGAAGGAACGGTCGGATTTTCCCCGAACATCCCGGACGGTTCTTCAACATTTGCATCGTGAAATATTGCATCGGGGAGGTCTGGTGCCATGGGAGCCGGCGAGTGTACTCGGGAGACGTCGTAAACCTCGACATCCACTAAGCCGCCATCCGGCGCCGCGACGTTCTCTACGTCGTCAATCATTTCGAACTCGACATTCTCACCAGCATCTGCCTCCATCTCAATCTCGACATCTCCAATATCGACCTGAGCAGATTCGTCCATTGAGCCATCCTCCGCCATGCTGCTATCATTGTTGAACCAGGTGTCAGAAGAGCCCTGCATTTGCATGTCAATGTCGCCCGAGTAGTCCATCATCTGCGTATCATACGTCTCCGTCATTGTAACAGTAGACATCGCACAGGAGACCTCAGCGACGCGAGTGACGGCGACCTAGAAGAGCTTGGGAGTGACGAAGATGTTTCGGCCACTCACATGCGCTACGCGTCTCCAATGCCAGTGAGTTTAGGGCAGGCGGATGAGCAAGACGCGTGCATAGAGTTGTGGCCACTGGCCAGCCCACGCCACCAAGCTCGTGAGTCTAACTCTAACCATGACATCTCCCGGGGAGCTCGCCGCTGCGAGAGCGGTCGACACAGAAGTGCTTGTGCGACGGTCTATGACCAAAGGTTATCAACTCTTCTCCCTCTTGACCCCTCCCGTCTACGCCGCTACTGTCCTTTATAAACGAGGAAGAGCCCATTTCTCCGTCAATCGGTTTCTGCGCGCAACGTGGATAGGCGGAGCAATAGGTGTGTCTGCTGAACTTTTCTTAGGAAAGAAGCGCATGGACCAACTCACTTAGGTACGGCAAGTGGTGGAGCGGTCGAATACGTACGAGCCTCGAATTCGAGCGAGGAGAGTCTCCGCCGTCGGAGAATCATTGCCGCATATAATGTGTTTAGCATCTCTATTCTTGCTGGCGATACCTTACTCAATGGAATTGCTTATTTTCAAGACTGATTCATTAAGGGCTGATGACCATTCCACCATCGGAGCCATTCTGTTCGCTGTGTTAACTCCAGCTCTGTTCTGGAAGCGTGCAAGAGCAGTTCATCGTGAGTCCGGGAACTTATATTCCGGTATGGACTGAGGTAAGGGATGCCCCTTTCGATGTCAGTTGTACTCGGCGGTGCGGGTTTGGGCTCTTCAGTAGGTGTCTTGGCACATTACGGAAGAAATCTGTCTGGAGACCCGCCCCCCCCAATCGTGGTTCCAGAGGCGCCTACATCGGCATAGACGATTACGGCACGTATACAGCCAGTGAGTAACTGAGACGCGTATACCCCTTGGCTGACGTGTTTACACCTTGAGCCAGATCTTGAATGCAGACCCTTCATGGCCAGCGACGCTAAGCCCAGATCAACCGCGCATGTCCTATGCGGAGGATTACACGCTACACTGAATATGATACTAGAAACAGATTCCGTCTATATTTCTGTTGCTAAGCCTGTGTAGTAATGGACCGACTCTCCCGCTCTAGCCATTCTCTCAGTGCAAAGTTTGCATGACCATCCACTTTCGGTCTAGCATCGAATATGACCGTCATCTGTGAGTATGACAACGCGTATGCGATTTATCCTCTTCCAACGTCCTTAAGTCGCCCGTCAACCTCAGGATGTACAACCAGAAGGTCCCCTTGCGCGCCATCGTCTTCCGATCCATCCAAGCTTCTGAGTGTTTCATTATTGAAACAGTCGACTTCACTCATATGCTCCCTCGAGGAGATGCCGATCTGGTTCTTGTAATGTTCTCTAGATCGAGACCGGTGCGTGACGAGGTCCGCTAGGTGCTGCCAGTTGTGCGCTGCTCTGGACCTGCCGCTGGATTCCTCCTTTCGCGCCTTCTCTCTGCGGACAATCCGTCCAGTATCCGAGTGTAGGTGATACGCGTCGGATTCCTTACCCTGGCGTATCATCTTATTGACGAATTGAGAACCTGACCAAATGATAAGCAGACAGGCAACAGTCCGGGTGCTTCGTTCAGGCTTACCCAGTAAGTATTTGCGGACAACGGTGCTCATCATTTGTCCGTTCTCGTCATCTATGAGGTACTTATGTCCTTTGAGAGGAAGAAAGCCGTCATGACCCTGCGCCATGTACTCTCGTGTTAGTATCTTGTATTGACGACCGCCTTTCCTCCGTTCTATAGTGATCTCTTCCACTGGACGATGTACGTCTCCTCCTTTGGAAAGTTTTACAAATTGATCCTCGGATAGCGGTTCCTCTTGTAGTAGCCATACGCCTAATACGCGTTGCCCAGGAGGGCGACGAGAATCCCAGGAAACGCGAAAACCAGAGATGACGGGAAACCGTCTATGTTTGGAATTTATCACGGTCTATAATAGTATGTTGTAATGGAGTGGACTCACCCTTCTTGGGCAGGCCAAGTCTCCAACGATGCTTCTAGTGCTGCCCAGATGGCTTCACCGTCCAGCTCAAGCACGACTAGCGGATCCTCAAACGGCAGAATTTCCAAGATATCCCCCAGGGTTATTATACCTGGGATGACAAAGTTAACCGTCAGCCGAAGGGCGCGATGGCCTATGCTACTCGCCTGGGCCATAAATACTATCACCACGCAGCATTCCGGCGCAAATAAATGCACCATCTGCGCCTCCGTAACCCTTGAGGCATAACGCGTCATCGTAGGCATGCCGCACAATGTCTGCAAACCAGTTGCCCGAAGCTGACTGGTTCATATCAGTGTATATCTCAGCTCTCCATTCCATGATCAACAATGATGGTCAAGGACAAACCTCTGATATCCGAATGAACTGAGACCGAGTGTCAATAGGTGCAGTTGCCCTGCAAACCGGACTCTTCAGACTGTCTGAAACTTTGGACAGGACGGACGAGAGGATCTCTGTCAATCGTGCGGAAGGCTTGGAGCCCGGCTGTGGCCCGTGCCTTCGTCCTGCGAAGTGGGTGTTCAGCTCCTCTCCCCAATCATTTGAGATCGATAGATCTCACCTTTAATGCTGCTGATCACCTTGCGACGGACGCTGCCTGAAGGCGTGTCTACCAACTCAAGTTCGAACTCGCTCAAATCTCTGAAGTCAGTCCCGCTTTTCACGACCAATATATCACCGCGATCTTCGTCCGCCCCCAGTACGTGCTGCTCAAGATCATAGCCCTCCCATGAGTCTACTCCGCGAGAGATATAGTACAGATGATCATGCCCTCCTAAGATGAGGTCGACCCCTTGCTTGTCACTTATGGTTTTATCCATTTGGCCCGATGGCGATAATGCTAGCAGGTCGTGAGCCAGCGCTATATCCTACGATTTCCCCCACATTAGCCTTCACCTTAACCGAGTACAATGGCTCCTCACGTTCGGTACTCTACAATCAGTTTGTTAAGATCAGTCGAGTTGATCCATTGGTGCAACGTACCTTGCATGTGTCAAAGCAATGATGAAATCACATTTGTATTCTCCTTCAGGATCTCGGAGGCGGCAGGAAAGAGACATGCCTACTTCCGTCATGTCTTTGTATTGAAAGTTCTGCGGCCACGATGAGATAGTGCCGATCCATTCCCTGTTCCATAAGCTTCATACTCGAGGGCGTTTCCCAAGGACATACTTCTCAATTAATCCGATTATCCCAATGCGTACGCCTGATCGCTCTACCACAACGAATTCGTTCAGGTGGTCTGGCACTCTCGATCTCTCGGTGTCGACTATATTGCTTAAAAGCCAAGGCTGAGGAGTAGGACTGAGAAGGACACGGTCATGGTGGGGATGTCACACTCACGAAACTTGTTTTCTCGACCAATTTACACAGGTGGGGATAACCTGCGCGTATCGTGTTCACAGTGAGCTGCGAAGGTTGCCTAGAACCAAGAGTCCGTGGCAATCCCTACCAAAGTCAAAATCATGATTTCCTGTGCCGGTCGCAAAAATATCCGATATCAAACTCGTGAATGCAACAATATGTGGTGTTATCAGCGGACCTGTTAGCGCAATGTCTGGCCGAATCTCGTTTATGACTGGTACCTAATGAGGAGGGCATGAGCCAGACTCTCGATATGCCACAAACTTCTTTGCGTACCATGTGGCTTCCTCTAGTAACTGAACTCTCCACCGACGGGGAGAACACATCCCCGGAGAAGAGAACGAGTCCGTCCCGGCCCCCATCTGCCCTTCTAGGCCATTGGTCTCGTATGTCGTCCACTAGCTGACAGAACTGCGTTACATCGATGGCTTCCTCGCTTGAAGATGAGACCTTCTGCGGTCGAACACGATAAACGTCGTTAAAGTGCAGGACTGATAACTTTATCATGACGTCGCGATTGCTCAAATCTCCGGTGAGACCAGGTAAGAAGTATTCTGTTCCCCGAGAAGTCGGGTTCGTCGTTGGACGCGTCGTCCAGTGACGGCAGGAGGCCTCGATGTCCGAGTTGCAGTCTGCGTGCGCCACATCGTTCGATCACAATCACGATTCACATGAATCCAACTCCTATGATTGGTTGCCACAATATGCCACAAAAGCTAAAATTCATCATTCTCACGGCATCCGGAATACATGTAATCCAAGCTATACTGGTGCACTATCCATATATGGCACGAATTGGAAAGCAGGGGAAGTCGATATAGCATATAGACTGGTTTCCGGTAGTCCACTGAGCGTATGGCTGCTTTACTGCGCTTTCCGATCTTTCGGCTGGTCCGGATAGAGCTGAACAGATCTCAGATCGTGTAATCAGAGGTAGAATATATTGCTTGTACCTTGCCTGGATTCATAATGTTGAGTGGATCTATAGCCTTCTTCAACGTCTTCATCAAGGCTACAGTGCCTTCACCTAACTCATCGTTCAGGTACTCCTTCTTGCCAACCCCCACCCCATGTTCGCCGGTACCTGTAGAGACTCAACTTTCAGAACAAACAGATAGGCGGTCATATTACACACATGACCCGTCCAGAGCAATGGCACGATGAACCATACGATGCACGGCATCACTAACCGCCTGTAACTCTTCGTCGTTCTTGAAAAGAAGCAACGCATGGAAGTTACCTACGAAACGCTACCAATGAATTGAGATGAATAATAGAGAGGGAAAGCGAATACCGTCTCCGACGTGCCCTACGATGGTCGAGATGATACCTGCATCGGCAAGATCCTTTTTGGTCTCGTACACCAGTGTGGGAAGGCAGGAGGGAGGCACGCTGTGCCCAAGTGCGTGAGCCGGATGCTAATCAAACGGACTGGCCAGCATACCAGACATCAGTTGTCCAACCCCTGGCCCCTGGGATCCATGAGAGCGTTGAAGTCAATGCATATTTACGGTTCTGCCATAGGTTGTCGGCTTCTTCATCAGTCGCTGCAAACTCGAATTGGGTAGAATTATGCTTCTTGACTATGGCCTTGACTACATCAGCCGTCTCCTTGATGGCTTGCGGAGCCCCTTGGATTTTGAAAAAGAGGGTGTCCTTCTCAGGGAGTTTACGTGCTACCATGCCACCATCATTCATCGCCCTGATCACTAAATAGCGATCTTTAATGCAGCAATTATACGACGAACGGGGCGCTTACTATTGTCATCCAGGAGCTCGACACATTCTGCGGAGTCGATCAGCAAATCACACAGTGGCAGCCGGAGAATAGCACCCCTTACGGAGATGGGGCCCGTAAGGTGAGTTCAGAGCCTCTTGTACGGCACTGACTGCCTTGTCCACGTTCGGGAATTGCGCCATTGCCACTCTAGTTGGAATGAGGGGCGCCAAACGCAGAGTAGCTGCAAAGTGATAAGCGTGTGAACCCACTTGCAAACTTACTCGCACTAACCCTCAGTCACAATACCGAGCGTCCCTTCGGCGCCGATGAATATTTTGGTCGTGTCGAAACCGGCAGATGACTTCCTGGCTCTTCTACGGGTCTTGATGACCTCTCCTGATGGTAGTACCACCGTCTATGTAGACTCATGTCAAACCTACTTCTGCAGTGTCTGAAGAAGATAACTCCGCATACAACATTGAGAAACCACTCTCCTTTAGCAGTTCCATATCTAACCGCGTTTGCTGATCAATCGCATTAGTTCAGCTTCGTGGATGTGTGTGAATGGTAAGTCTACCTACTTCCTGAACAACCCGTTCCTATCATACCCCCTATAGTCTGGGAGAAATATATGTTATTTCGTCTCGTGATAACATCTCAAGGTGCGCAGCTTACTGCACCGGGCCCAGGGTCCAACTTGTATGGTCAGTATAACCACTCCTGGTTGGCATCAACTACATACCGGAAAGAACAGCGGTATACCCTTTTCCTTCAATGTATCGTTGATGTCTTCCCACTTGGCTCCAGCTTGACATATCAAGTCGCCGTCGTCCTCTGACCACGGGTGAGTAAGTGGAGATGAAGGATCTCAGGACAAGAATATAACCATGTATGTCCAAGATTTTATCCATGCCGCTCATGTCAATGCAAATGTCGCGCGAGGCATACTATAAGGTAGAGTTACAGAGAGAGACAGAGCCTCCAGTAGCGCACCACGCACACCCGAAAAATGTCCCTCTAGACTGGTAGCACCTCCGTAGGGGGTTATAGGCACCCTATACTTGCGTGCTATGTTGACAATGTTGACGACATCTTCTGTGCTGTATGCACGAACAACGACTGCATGGGGTGCAGAAGGGTGATACGAGTTATCAGAAGAACCGTAGTCTTTGACGGTTTCAGGCTCAGTCGTAACTCGGCCCTCTTCTGGAAATGCTTCGCGGAGCTCTCGGATAGCCTGCTGAAGCTCATTCGGAGAAGCGTACTGGGTGTTGAATGTAAGAGGGTCATCATTTGCAGGTGACCTTTTCGAGCCCTACAAAATGCAATCCGGAGCGTCGCACACGTGCACGAGGAGTCCTACCTCGCGGATCGTGAACACTCACTGGTAAGAGCTCCCTCTCGTACGCAAGCACGCCAATACTGAGAGCCATGCAGGAACCCCATAACAGTCTTTCCACTTTCCCCACAGCAGGCTTGGTGGTGGCACCGGTAGAATTCCACCTTACGGGATGCTGACCGCCATGCGCCTTCGTGGGTCTGGAGACACCGATGCGGCCCCTCCGACAGAACAGCCGCTTTGCTGATGACAACATTGCAAAGCGAGAGGCAGACGAGAGACTACAAGAAGAAGACCTCGGAGTAGACGACTACTAATATCGCCCTGGACTGAAGCATAATATCACCGCATTATATTTAGACGAAAGCGAGTTCATGACGAATGATAGCGACATCTGAGACGTCAGGTGAGATTAGAGAAGGTGTGCAAATAACTGTTCATCCTACGAAAGTTGACCACTAATACATGTTGGATAAAGGTATCACACGGTCAGGTTACTGTAATCGCACTCTGCGTCACACTGATCTCCGTTTCGCTGTCGCGGCGGCAGTGTGGCCCTCGTCTTTCCGTCCGACCTCCAGATCACCCAGCTACAGTTAATTTCATATATACGTGGTGTTCCTATTGACGGGATATACTCCAGGTATTGGTAAGTGTAGTACTGTATGTCTATGTATGTAAGCAACCGGGCGCACAGCGTTACACCTTGAAATGGCACCCCTCGAAGTAACAAAGCCGGCGTTACGCGTTACATTGGTAAAATTAGCAACCGCAACCCGACCAGTAAGTACCCATGCGCTTCTACATATGATCCTTCCATATTAGGGATGCAAAGAAGCACTCTACAATATAATACTTGATTTTTAACTGCTGAGATATATTGACGGAATAATATTTGTAGCTAAATCCTACCAAAAATTGTTGAAATATTCCAAGCAAACGGAAGACGAGCGCGTTTGCCCCAGGCGGTCGGTTGCCCGAAGGGCAATCACGTACAGTACATCGAGTAGATACAACGAATATATATGAATTTTCTTATCACCTTATCAGT